CCTCAAATTAAAAAGCACTCTTAATCATCATCACACAGCTCATTTTTGAAAACTGACCATATAGCTGAGCTTCAGAAAGTTTGTTTCATTTTTTAAAACTCTCTGGTGTATAAAGTACTCCAGGAGATAGTGAAAGACAGGGGAAGCCTGGCATGCTGCAGTCCATGGGGTCACCAAGAGTTGGACATAGCGACTGAACAAAAACAAGAGCAAAATACCAAAGACTGGACAGTTTATAAATAACAAATTTATTTCTCACAATTCTGTTAGCTGAAAATATGAAATTAGAGTGTGAACACATTTGGGTGAGGGCCCTCTTCACATCCCAAACTTCTCTTGTCTTAAGTCCTCGATGGCTTGATGGGACTAGGAAACTAGTGTCTCTTATAAGAACATCAATCCCACTCATGAGAGTTCTAGCCTCATGACCTCCCAAAGATGGCCATCTATTAATACCATCATCCTTGGGTGTTAGGATTTCAATGTAGGGATTTGGGGAGGGAGGTGATCATTCAGACCACAGCAACTAATTCTGCATTGATTTAAAAAAAAAAAAACAATGTATGAAAACTTTCTCTAATGCTTAGAGGACAAAGATAACTACATTTGCTTAAATGTAGCAAATGTCCTTTAAATGGGAATATATTTATTGTAAATACTATTTTAACTACTAATTTTGAAGGCTTTATATTTTCAGTTATATCTTTTTGAAGGTTCTCATTATGTTTTGGTCATGCCTTGCTGGATCCTGCTTCCCCTACCTGGGATTGAACCACGCCCCCAGCAGTGGAATCAGAGTCTCAACCACTGAACCACCAGGGAAGTCCCTCTTTGAAGGTTTTAAAATTCCTATTTTATGCAAAATGCTTAGCATGTTTTATAAATTCTTTGAGATGAAAGCCAGCTGGTCTCCACAGAGTTCTTAGAAGAAATACTAGATATTGTCTAATACAACCTGATTTTCTTAATAAATGACATTCTAGTGGAGAAAGTTTCACTAGACTTAGTATGGGTCAGGTGTTGGAATGTCAGCAGGCACTTCCAGCAGGTCCATGGATATATGTATATCTGAATCACTTAGCTGTACACCTGAAAACTAACACAATATTGTCAATAAACGCCAATGTAAAAATTTTTTTAAATTAAAATCACATCTAAAACCTAGTTAGTAATATTCCATATCAGTATCACTGTAATGCTAGTTCCCTGTGTGACTACTAGATACTAGAACTGTGTGACAGGGTCCCTGCTTCCCATCTACCTACCTGCAGCTGAGGACCAGTCACCAGGCTGAGGCATTATTTGTAGGTCATTTACAGTTCTACCCACCATCAAAATATCCCAATATTGATACGGGATATTACTAACTAGGTTTTGCATGTGTTTTTAATTTTTAAATTTTTTTATTTTATATTGGAGTTGATTGACAATATTGCCTTAGTTTTCAGGTGTACAGCTAAGTGATTCAGATATACATATATCCATTCTTTCTCAGATTCTTTTCCCATATAGGTTATTAACAGAACATTGAATAGAGTTCCCTCTGCTATACAGTAGGTCCTTGTTGATTATTTTATATATAGTTGTGTGTTTATGTTAATCCCAAGCTCCTAATTTATCCCCCCCACCTTTTCTGTTTGGTAACCATCAGTTTGTTTTTGAAGTCTGAGAGTTTGTTTTGTAAATAAATCCACTCCTATCAGTTTTTTCTTAGAGTCCACATATAAGTGATATCATATTTGTCTTTCTCTGACTTCACTTAGTATGACAATTTCTCGTTCCGCCCGTATTGCTGCAAGTGACATTATTTCATTCTTTTTATTCTATTGCATATCTGTACCACATCTTCTTTATCCATTCCTCTGTTGATGGACATTTAGGTTGCTTCCATATCTTCGCTGTTGTAAATAGTACTGCAGTGAACACTGGGATGCATGTATCTTTCTGAATTATGATTTTCTCCAGATACATGCCCAGGATTAGAACTGCTGAATCACAAGTGCTTCCCAGGTGGCTCCGTGGGTAAAGAATCTGCCTGCAACGCAGGAGATGCAGGCAGATGTGAGTTTTATACCCGGATTGGGAAGATCCTCTGAAGGAGGGCATGGCAGCCCACTCCAGTATTCTTGCCTGGAGAATCCCATGGACAGAGGAGCCTGGTGGGCCACAGTCCTTTGGGTCGCAAAGAGTCAGACACGGCTGAAATTACTAAGCACCAAAGAATCAGACACAACTGAGGCGACTGAGCAGGAGTCTCCATTCTGCTCTCCATAGTGGTTGTATCAATTTACATTCCCACTAATAGTGATAGGGGGATGGTTCCCTTTTCTCCATACCTTCTAGCATTTATTGTTTGTAGACTTCTTTATGATGGCCATTCTGACTGATGTGAGGTGATAACCTCATTGTAGTTTTGATTTGCATTTCTCTGAAAGTTAGCAGTGTTGAGCATCTTTTCATATGCTTTCTGGCCATCTGTGTCTTCTTTGGAGAAATGTCTGTTTAGATCTTCTGCCCATTTTTTGATTCGGTTGTTTTTTCATAGGTGTGATTATTAAAAAGGTATTATGGCTATTTTAGAAAAAGTAAAGCCAATTTAGGAAAACATTTACAGATGAAACCATGATTTGCTTTAAAATCTTATCAAGGGGAAGACTGAATAAGACTATGGATGGACTAAAACAACCATGGTTTAGTGGCTATTGGGGTTGATGATAGTAGTGTTAAGTCACTCATTTCCTGTCCAACTCTTTGTCCAACCCCATGAACTGTAGCCCACCAGGCTCCTCTGTCCATGGGATTCTCCAGGCAAGAAGAGTGGAGTGGCTTGCCATCCCCTTCTCCAGGGGATCTTCCGAACCCAAGGATCAAACCCGGGTCTCCTGCATTGCAGGCAAATTCTTTACCATCTGAGCTACCGGGTATAGTTCATAATGGTTTGTTAAACTCCTGCTTCTATCTTTATTTGAAATTCTCCATGAGTTGTTTTTTTCTTTTAATCCTGGTAATTCTGACACAAATTTCAAAGTTTCTGAATAACATTTCTTAAAACAATGCTGTTAGTGGCATATAGTCTAAATACTGTTATTTGGTTATTTGTGGACATGGGAAAGGAATGTTTGGAGCCAAAACTAGAGTCATAGTGATACTGTAAGGACAAAGTTATATAAACCCAGCCATTTCCTATTGGCGTGTTGTTACATTTCAGAAAGACATCTTTGACTTAGGTCAGTGATTCTCAAAGTTGAGTGTGTATCTGAGTGCCTGGGATATATTCCAGGCCTTGTGCCACAGAGATTTTGGTTGGGAGATTTGGAGTGGCACCTAGGAATTTACATTTCTAGTAAGCTCAGAACATGATTTATCACTTAACGACAATTACAAGAGTTTCAATTCACTGATGTAGAGAAAACACAAAATAATGCAGTGGTGAAATATTTTAATTAAGGCTTATGGCAACAGAAATGACTTCAAGGTTTTGTGAATTATTTTTCTAAAGAAAATCTTTACAAAAGATACTACTTACAAATCAATCATCACTGTCATTGATGTTTCTATGTATTTTTATAATTGCATCATGACAGACACAAAGAGGCTAAATGATGACAATACTGGCCCCAAAGTCTTCTCAAAACAGACTAATCAAGATACTTGTTTGTACTATGTTAGGCGTACATAGTCCATTATTCCAGCCAAAAGCATAGTTAAATGGAAGGAAAAAGAGTGAGCAGAAGTCCTGGTTTGTGTATATTTAGGTCAGTTAACAGCCATCTTCCTTTCAGCTGTGGCTCCTTCTCTCTTGTTCTTCATAGTGTGGAACGGTGTGACACGGGGCACTTGGTACCAGAGGCGCATGCAGCACCGTCTCCACCACAGCAAAGAGAAAGGAGCCCCTAATCACGCTTATTTAGAAATATGGTGAGTAAACATTAAGGGCTGTCGGGCAGAGAGAAGGGAGAGGAACTGGAGCATGACTGAACACTGCTGTGTAACAGGTAGGTGCTTTGCATATATTGGTTCAGAGAGACAAAGCTGCTGCAAGCCATTACGGAGCTCCCACTCTGCGTAGCCCTTTACAGTTATACCATCCGAAGAATATAAGGAGACAGTGAAGGTGTTATCTTGGCCCAGACAACCTACTGGAGAATCCAAAAGAGGCTTACTGAAAACAGGTCATGTATATATCATAGTTCTTGGAAAAAAAAAAAAACAAAAAACAAATGAACCATAAAATGTGAATGGAATTAATGACATATTTTCTTCTATTCTGAGGTAGTCATCAAAAATTGTAGAAGACGTGTCTACTAAGTAGGAGTGCTATAATCTTGACACTGAGGCAGGATTCTGTGCCAGCCCCACTCCTTAACTGTGGTAAACAACAGAAGGACAGCTGTGGGGATCTCATCAGTTTATTTGTATGTCTTACCTATTAGATACGGTCTAATAGGAAGAGTTCATCTTACTCCTGTCACCACTTCAAAGCAAGGCTAAAATCTGTTTTGGTCTTAAATATGTGACTTCATTAAACACACCCAGAATAAATTAACATTGACAATTTATGTTCCCATAACGAATATTCTGTGGCCTGAAATCTAGTTCCTTTACCCTTGAGATATGAAATGTGTGGTAAAACTTACTGGAAATGCTTTCTTGCTAAAAGCTGAACTTCAAGGACCACAGCCACCCTGTCCAATATTGAGTGGATGCGGTCTGTCTCTATGTCAAGTGCCAGGTCTGCTGTCGTAAAGGTGAACGTGGAACACAAGAGCAAGGTAAGCCTGTTCCCATGATCCTGCCATTTCCACAGCAAGCCTGCTCCAAGCACAGATGTTAAATTTCATAGCTTCTGACCTTTGAAACCTAGCAAAATTATATGAATCAGATCTTCCAGTGGTGATAATTCACTGGGATTAAGCCCCGAGGTATCTGGTGATGGAATAGTGCCAGCTATGCTTCTACTAGTGTCTGTGTAGCATAAGGATATGCAGTGGGCACTCAGCTTAGTGGTAGTGTTCCCCTGGATCTAAAAGGGTAGTGGAAGACAGGCTGCTGTTCTCACTTGGGGGAGGGGAGGCAAGACCCAGGGGGATGGCCATTTGCATTTTATACTCTGAACAGAGTGCTGGCTCTGGTGGATTTGTTGGTGGGCTCTCCTTGTCTCCAGACGTGGGTGAGGCCAACTGGGATACATAATTCAAATTAGCTTCTCCGGCTGGGATTTCTCCCAGGGAGTTCATGTAGTTTTGTTCCAGTGTCTTTAGTAAATTTTCAGGTGAAGTCAGTGGTCCCAGCTGACAGTGTGGGGCTTGAGAGGTTACTGGAAAATGTCCACAATAACCCAAGTCAGAAGCTGCCTGATTATAGGTAAAGTTCTCAAAGCAGATGCAAGGTCCAGGACCAGAGTAGTTCTTCTCTGTTGGGAGCAGGTCAAGATAGGCAGGCTTAGTACCTTTAGTTTCTGTGGGTGACTTCCTAGTGCCTGTGAACTGTATCTTACTCCCTTCGGGCTTGTTTACAACTTCAATAGCATCTGGAACACAGTCGTTGACATTCATTATTGTTATATGAGGATTCTCCTGAAACAGAAATAGAAAATGGGCAAAGATAATGTGTGTGTGTATCACAGTATATAAAAAGTATGTGAAATGCACTCAGAGCTTCACTTCTTTGTGTGTTTTATCCTGGTCACAAGTTAACTGGAGGTGATGCTGAAAACCAAAGGATAGCCCCTGACAGAAGAAGTCAAAGCTGTGTTCACTCATTTCATGGCTGGGGGAGCAGAGGAGGCTGTTGCTTTGTTATATCTTCCTGAGGAGGTCTAGGAATGTATGATTATTATAGCGCAACCCCTGGGTTAGTCTTTAACAAGTACATGGTATCCCTAGAATATCTCAGAATTTACCTTGGATTTTATTAAAGACAGGACGCTGCTCTTGTAAGGGTCTGGAATGTCAGGATAACACTTGTCCTTCAACCTGGAAAACCAATGAAAATTACACTGAATTTTGCAATAGCATGGAATGGTTAAGAGTGAGAAACCTGGAGTCAGATGAATCCTTGCTTCATCACCCTTAACACTATTACCTTAAGCAAGTTTTTTAACCTTTCGAGGCTTTAATTTCCTCACTGGTTCAGTGGAGATCATTATGGTAGTGATGGTGTCGGAAAGATTAAGTGAGTTGTTATATGTAAAACACTGAAAACATTGCCAAGCACATGGTAAAGTGAGATATAAATATTAGCTGTTGCTATTAAACAAGTGTTGCAATATTTTCAAATAGTTTCCTTATGTATTGTTTATATATCTGTTGATGTGTCTACAGCTCATCTGTTGATAAACAAGATAATTCAAAATTTTTCATATTTTTACCAAATCTTCCTTTGTCCTTTCCTTTCCAGCACTTTGCCTCATATGATCCAGTGTGATTTCTATTTTATTAAATTCCTTTCTAGATTTTTCTTTGACTCTCTTCTTGGATAAAACCTTCCCCACACACTTACCACTGACTTTTTAGGTAGCAGGCGATCATGATGACCAAAACGCAGAAAATCATGGGGAGAATGATGTGTATCAGTATATGGGCTGGAGAAGGGAAAAGAAAGGGATGTTTTTAGTGACTGCTTTTCCCTCAAAGGAATAAGTTTTACATGTCTGTTATTTCTCAAAACTCTATTTGTGCAAGATTCACTATGTGTGCTGTCTGACTGGTGGGGAGCAAGGTGATGAGACACCAACCAGCCAACACAGGGATCCATTTGCCCATAATACTTGCAGCTCAAACTCATTTCCTCTCCTGACAGAATGGATCACTACTCCCCATTCTTCACTTCCCGCTCTGTATGAGTGTTCTCCACCCCCTTGACGTATAGGCTCAGCCACGACTTGGTTTGACCAATGGGAGGTGAGTAGCGGTCACGCTGGTAGCTGAGCTGAGTGTGCTTATTAGAGTTGGCTTGCTCTTGTGTTCGCGTGATGCACTCTGAGCAGAGCTGGTCCCTCAGAGCCGTCCTTCAACCTGAGCCTTAGGGAACTAACAAACTACATGGAACAAACCTAAACGTGCCTGAAGCTTGGAGTCCCACCTGGTTCAACCTGTGTCAGCCAAGCCAGGAGCATGAAAAGACAGATTTGTTTCTGTATGCCACTGAGATTTGGAGGTATTTTTGTTATTCGTTGTTCAGTCACTAGGTCGTGTCCAACTCTTTGCAACCCCATGAACTGCAGCACACCAGGCTTCCCTGGCCTTAACTATCTCCTGGAGTTTGCTCAAACTCATGTCTATCTCATCTTCTGTCACCCCCTTCTCCTGCCCTCAATCTTTCCCAGCATCAAGGTCGTTTCCAATGAGTGGGCTCTTCACATCAGGTAGCCAAAATATTGGAGCTTCAACATCAGTCTTTCCAATGAATATTCAAAGTTGATTTCCTTTAGGACTGACTGGCTTGATCTCCTTGCTGTCCAAGGTACTCTCAAGAGTCTTCTCCAGTACCACAAGGTATTTTATTACCCATTAAAAACTGACTAATGCACCCCTTCTAGTTAGGGTCTGATAAAATTACCTAAGTCATAACCTAGGTAATTATTCTACTTTTATTTCTCAGATACACTAAAATATGCTATCTGTGATTTTCAAACTGTTCTGGGACTGAGAAAGTTTCTAGGTCATAGATCAGTCAGATTAGCTTCACTCTTATCTATTGTATGTTGTGGGATTCTGTGTAACTTTTTTTTTCCTTTCATGAGTTTCATCTAGAGAAAGAAAGAGACAGACAAGGACAGAGAAGAAAGGTTTAAACATTCCTGATCTGGACAAAGTCCACAACTGTGTGTGTCATTTGTCAGTTTCCCAGGAACTCCTAAGAGAAGAGTTTTGATTTGGAAAAACTCACAGTATTCATCCGGAGTCGTGACCTTTCTGAAGTCATCCATGGGACCCTCACCAGCACTTGTATAAGGAGTGACGAAAAACTCATAGACAGATTCTGGCTGTAGGTCTTTCATGACAAATGTCTTTTGATCCGGGTTGTCAATTGTGTATTTGCAACATACTGAATTATCTGTGTTTTTTTTTTTTTTAAGAAGAAAAAATGATTAAAAGTGTAATAAAGATCTTGTGAGACAGTCAGGCACTAATACTTCTGTGGACTCGGTACTGCCAACATTTCTAAAGCAATCAAAAATGAATTCATAATTTCATCACACTGGGAACACTAAGATGTTTGGCAGGTGACAAACAAGACGAGCACTCCAGTAAGCAAGGGCTATTCCTGATTGGTGACGGGGGCGGGGGGGGGGGTGCCGGGGAGGGGTGCAGGGGGGACGCAAATCTGCCAGAGAGAGAGTAAGAGCTTGCCAGAGCTACTTAGAGTACATTGCGATAAGCTTTAACAAAGTCAAAAGAAGGAAATGAGGTTAGCAAGCAAGTTTCCTAAGCAGTAAGTAGGCTTTCTTAAGGAGCTGGGAGTACTTCAAGTGCATCTAAAAATACTGGGCCACATTGTTTTTAAGTAGGTTAAAATCCTGGCCCCCATTATCCTGTCCTCCCTACTAATTTAAGGACACTATTAGATCATTAAACCATGCGAGCACAGAAATCAGCCTGGACACAATCAGAGATGGCTGCCAGCCTTTCCAATTATTTCAAGTAAGGAGATCTTGAAACTGTAAACAGACTAAAAGACAACCAAAAAGTGTCACCTGGAAGAACTGTCTTTTCAAATCCCCGGTGGCACTTCTCCCCTGCCTTGGATTTCAGGTAGACATAGTACCCTTGTATAAAACCGGTTTGAGATTCGGTGGGATAATCCTTCCAACTCAGAGTGAAGGAGTGGGAGGTCAAGTTATTCGGGACCACTTGAGGGTTGTATGAAGGAGCTAAGAAAGGAAGTTGCAATAATGTAAGAGTCACAATTTGGAAGCAGTTTCAGAGCATTCATGTAAATTGAAGGTAGAACCACAGCCCACTCTAGAGGTGCTAACACCAAGTGAAGGACTCTTATCTTTTTCTCTGATTTTGTTCGTGAGAGCTGGGAAGAAACAAGCTTCGTCTTATTCAAGCCTTGCCTCTCCTAGAAGTAGAAATGGATGCCCAGAGAGATTCAATAACTTGTGCAAGGTCACACAGCAAAAAAGAAAATAAAGGCTTCCCTAGACTTTTTTCCACGCCTGAATTCTAAACAGTGTTTGGGAAAATGAACTGATGTGGGGTGAAGGGAGGAGGAGGAAGGGTTATGTTTGAAGAGGTCAGGGTGGCTTTGAAGAGCTTTAGTTCCCAGGCAGTGGTAACACACAGTTGTCCAAGTGTAGGTGTGTGTGTGTGTGTGTTAAGTCGCGTCAGTCATGTCTGACTATGTGCAACCCTATGGACCTTAGCTCACCAGGCTCCTCTGTTCATGGGATTCTCCAGGCAAGAAGACTGGAGTGGGCCACATTCCCTCCTCCAGAGGATCTTCCCAACTCAGAGATTGAACCCACATCTCTTAGGTCTCCTGCCTTGATAGGAGGGTTCTTCATCACTAGCACCACCTGGGAAGGCCCAATCCAAATGTGGGAAGAGTTTATTCTGAGGCTGCCCTGAGTCTGTTTCAGCACATAGGCTAGTGCACGCCTGGCCTATGTCTGCCAACACACACAGAAACACCCCTCCTGCCTGTCTGGGACAGCACCCACTCAATGGAGAACACCGAGAGCTGGTCCGATTGATGCAAGGTAACCAAGGACCCAGCCACCCAGCTCCCAGCGGGTGTGAGACCCTGGATGCCAAGAAGCTAAGTAAGCAACCACACGAGAGGATCAAAACTTGCCCACGTTGCTGGTGGAATTAAAGTACAATGTCTGAAAGGGGCAGCAATTTCACAATATATCTGCCAAAAGTCTTAAAAATTGTAAAACTGTATTTGAGAAGTTCAAATGTTCTGGTTCGAGTCTTCTACCTCTAGGACTTTATTTGAAAACCATAATCAGAGCAATGGACAAAGATTCAGCTAAAATGATGGTGAGTCAGTAAGGCATAAGGGGATTTGGCCAAGAAAAAGAGATTGACTATTACAGACTGCAAGAAAATTGAGGGTGAATTTTATAGCTTTTAACTGAAAAAAATTTTAATCATCCTAAAAGTCCAAAGATGGGTGATTTGCCATATGCAAACCATGAGGCAGTTTGCAGTCATAATGATTGATAAGTTAAATATTACTTAGTGACGTGAGTCAAAAAGGACTTTACAAAACTGCATATAGTAAGATCTGATTTTTATATAAAAGTGTATGCCTGTACTGAGAAAGGACACACACAAAACATTAACTCTGGATATGTGCCCTTGGGTGGTAAAATCAGCAAGAGTTTTCTCTTCTTTTGCATAACATTTCATGAATTGTCTTTAATGAAAATGTTTTATGTTTACGATTTAAAAATAATGTTTTAAAAAACCCAATGGTCAAAATAAATAGCACACTGAAAATTAGGAAAGATGCTGTAATTTTCCTAAAGCTGAAGCAAAGAGTCTCTGGGTTGTCCTGAACAAGTCTACCCATGGACACAGTAAATGCTTTAAACTTACCCAGTTCCTCTAAATAGCCAGTTTTTTTCTCTAATAAATGGGCCATCCTTTTTGTAGAAATTTCATAAATTCTGAAGTTGTAGCGAACCCCTGGTCTAAAAGCACCTAGAGAAGAAAAGTCAACAGATTGTCAATAACACAGGATGACATTCTCTTTACCTCTGAAAAGGAAAAGGATGAAAAATGAATTTGGGTCCCCTTAAAAAATCCTCCTCCTCGGAGTTTCTGCCCTTCATCTCTACCATCTTCCCTCCTTCCCCTGAACCCTGAAATCCTCCAGCATTTCTGACAAAGGGGGACTGTTTTCTACATCATCCTCTCGATTAAGAGCTCTCAAAATACCCTTATCCATGTGCACAAAACTGGGTGCAGAATTCAACCAGAACCAGAAAACCATGTAAAACTCTCTTTTGACTCTAAATCTCCCGTCAGCGACTCACCCTTTCTCCGCCCATGAGAGGCAAGCGCCTGGAAGATCTGCTTCCAGTAACTCACTTTCTCCTCACCCTTTCTCCGCCCATGAGAGGCAAGCGCCTGGAAGATCTGCTTCCAGTAACTCACTTTCTCCTCACCCCACACCTCTAACACTGCTCAAGACAAGGGAAGACGACTCCTCATTCCTGCCAGCCACCCGAATGACCCCACTGGGCCTCATCAGTCACCCTCAAGTGGTGGAGTGGTGGTGGTTGAGTCGCTAAGTCATATCCTACTTTTAGCAACCCCATGGACTGTAGCCCATCAGGCTCCTCTGTCCGCTGTCCGTGGGATTTCCCAGGCAAAAACGCTCTAGTGGGTTGCCATTTCCTTCTCCATCACTCTCTGGACCGACAATTCCCACATCTCCACCTTGTGCCCAGCAGATGGCGCCACTAACCCACTGCTCAAGCCACTAACCTAGGCTCCTTAAACTGCTACACTTGCAACCTGGAAAAGTCAAACCCAGTGTGGCGGGCAAGAGACCAAGCTCCATAAGTTGCATTGAAACTGAAGGAGTTGATAATCAACTCCCATTAACTCTACTCCTATGTCTTCCAAATCCACATCTTTGCCTTTGTAAAAGCGCTCAGGACGCCTGTTACAAAGCTCCTTTGCTATTCATTTGAGACTGCTGGCTTAGAACAAATTCATGAACCTTATAAACACCTATCCAGCCTTACATCTGGATGGCTCTGTAAAAGTAAATATAAAGGTCAAAACCTAGGACACGTCACTGCAAAACTTGAACTCCAAGACCCCACGCGGGATTTGGAGTTACCAGTGAGCACAGAATATCTGAGATGGTCCAGAAATCCTAGTTGAACCAGGTGGATGGAGCGAGATGGTAATACAGAAGGTTCTTACCCGAGCTAATGACTGTGCCTGTGGTAGTGGGTCCTAGGTTCTTCCACTGGAGAACACAGGGCAGGTTCTGGGGACCATCACACCACTCCACAACGTAACCTGTGGCATTTCTGGATTGGGGTTTCCAAGACATGGGAAATCCATCCTCTGTACCATTAATTCTTCCTTCTTCAACATTTTCTGTATGTTACAAAGAGGGCAATGCTTCAGATTTAATTAATCAGACATTCTGCAAAAGTATCTAAAGAAGAAAATAAGCTTGAAAGTGCTGTGTATCTAGTAGGTCCAAACCTTCCCTCTGTAATTGCAACAGGGCTCAGGATAAAGGCAGGAGGGATGTTTTCATCAGGTTTTTCCTACCTCTCACTCCCAATAAATATTCACACTCGCCCCTCAAATGTCCCTTGTCCTGAGAGAGCCAAAGAAACATCAGCTCCTAAGAGGGATCAGCAGGCAGGACAGCTGGTGGAACAAATCAAGCCTCAAAAGCTTGTTTTTACTAAGATCAATTCTAAGATTTTTAAAGTGTTGTTAAAAACAAAGCCTAGAGAACATAGATTGGAAAATGATGATTGTCATGCCTACATTAATGTCTAAAATATTTATGCTCTGCCTTTTAACTGAAAAAGTAGTTGACCTTTGACCTAGAACTGTGTCTGGTACTTGATCTACTTTCAAAAATCATCTGTTGAATAAGTCAGCTTACTCCCCCACACAATGCTGGCTGCCCTGGAATGAACTCCTGTCTCCAAGATGTTAGGGGTAGAAACTGAGGTGACTGCAGAGAAAAAAAGGAAAAAATGATTCACATATGCACTCAGTCAGATTATGGAAGCATGCGACACTACTTATGACCTAGGATGCTGCCTCAATGTATTTTATGCACCAGGGTAGTCTTCCTAACATCTGACAATTGGACAAAAGGTGATGGGCTCAGTGGACTACAGCTCTGATGACTTCATGCAGGTCAGTCTAGATCTAGAAGGATGAGAACTTCTGTTTCCAAGGCTGATTCCACAGCCTTCCACTGTTCGGAAGGCAGTGAGCCCAGGTGGTCAGTTGGGTGAAAGCAGACTCTGATCAAGGACTGGGCCTGCAAGCAGCTGCTCAGAGAGGCAGCTAGTGTGGCACAGGCAAATATGACGTGGGATGGACTTAATACTCTAAATGTGCTTCTTATTTCTCTGCAGTTCACATTTGATGAGGCATCTTTTCTTTTATCTGGCAATTCTAATTACAGCTGAATGTTGATGAGTGCTATTAAATTTTCCAGAGCACCAAATTATCATCCAACTTGGAGCATCCAAACAAATGTGCAGCCCCAAGTATGAGGTCAGGGGTTCCCCACGAAGGCATGTGTCTATCCTACCCACATAGCTTCTCTGTCTTTCTTCATCAGAGACCCTAATCTCTTTCCTGTTGAAGCAGACATTTTCCACGTACTCACATTGACTATAATTTCACCCCAAACTGAAAGCATAACTCTCACCAAGCTGCTTCTCTAACCTTGCAAATATGTCTGGAGAAGTGAAGGGAAAGGCAAAGAAAAAGGGAATCTTTTCAGTCATTCACACTTTAGCATGAATTGGCTGAACATCCTTGGTCTGTCTCATAGCACATCAGTGACTTTATCCACTCTAGAGACATAAGAATGTGGACCATATCAGAAGGCTGGAAAGAGCCTCACAAGGGGATGGAGTAGGTTCTGAAGGCAGAGGCATGAGGAAGGAAGACGGGGTAGGAACCCACAGATGGGGATGACCCCAAAACAGATAATAGTGTTTAGCAGAGTTGTTTGAGCTGAGCCTCACTGGAGGTAGTGTTCTTTTATCTATCAGCTCCCCTAGGAGTGAATGAAATGCCCACCTTTCCTGTTCTCTTCCTAATAAAGACAGAATACAACCATTCACTTCCTTCTCTGATAAAGTTCTTCAAAAGCAAAGATTATGTCAAGTAACTCCTTAGTTCTTCTTCTGTGGCACAATCCCAATTTCTTTTTCTTACTTCACACACTGGATGGTTCTTAACCAAAGTAAATAAGACAAAATAATAACACCCTCCAATCTAGCCCATTTAACCTAAATGTAAGCCTAATCTGAATAACAGGTATAAAGCGACCCAACATAACCCCACAAGCAGGGTCTGATGATTTTTATAGCAGTAACTGAAGGGTGACATCATTGCAAGGTTCACAGATGAATTTAGGATGTCTGTGGGGTGTGTCCAAGTGTGCAGCGTCTCAGAGTGTGTACCACTAGGTGCAGGGTTAGTGCAACCAACCTCCATTCATAGCTCTCCCAGGAAGGACAGTAACACCATTATTGATTATACATGTAAGGTCATTTCCACCTTGTTTGGACTTTCACAGGCTAAGTGTTTAGTTATCATCATTTATTCCACAGCTTTGGCAAAGCCCTTTTTGAAAGATGATGTTAGTTCTCCTTGTGGCCAAGACTGACAAAATATTTTGCCATATAAGAAATGCAACTCATATTCCATAAGCCACAAAGCATGTTCATAGCAACTCTAACTTGTTAGGACTATTTGTTTGTGTTGCATTTATTTGAATAAAACTTGAGATAACTTCCCAAATCAGTGGAAGAATCCCTGGAAGGGAAATGTCCTGAGCCATGGCTGAAATCTTCCCACACCGAGGAGGACCATCCCAGAAACCCGCCAACGTGCTTGGACTCAAAGAAAATGACAGACAGTGTTTGGAAGCTACACCTTCTGTCTCTCCAAACTACGCTTTCCAATGTATCCATATCTACCAAATACCACCATCAACATGTTCCTAGAGAAGAAAAACAAGACCAAAGAAACTCACCATTTCCAGGATGTCCAGAAATGGCAACTGTGGAAGCTGGAGAAGGGCCCACACTGTTGTGAGCCGTGACGTGGATCTGGTAAGAGCTCTGATTGAGGGTTACTTTTGTGCTGTTGGCCGGAGCAGGGACAGAGAGCACCTCTAAACTGGATGGTTCATCAAGATTTTCTACAACTACATTATAGAACAGGATCTTCCCGTGGGTATGCACTTTTGATAGAGGCTGAATAAAATATGGACAATCATTTCAACATGGGCTTCCCTCTGAATGAAAGTTTGCTTGGTTACTTTCCCATCTTTTCTCTCCTTTGATTGCCTTATCCACACACACACACGCACAGCAAATTAAAACAGTTTAAGACAGAAAATAACCTTCTAAATAAACCACACTTGAAATCAGACATTCTATTTTAACTAAAATTGAGTAGAGAATAGGATCACTTGGGGGTGAGCTTAGGAACATATCATGTCCAAAATGAAGTCGCTCAGTCGTGTCCGACTCTTTGCGACCCTATCAGCTGTAGCCTACAAGGCTCCTCTGTCCATGGGATTTTCCAGGCAAGAATATTGGAGTGGGTTGCCATTTCCTTCTCCAGGAGATCTTCCCAACCCAGGGATTGAACCCAGGTCTCCCGCATTGTAGGCAGACGCTTTACCGTCTGAGCCGCCAGGGAAGTCCTATCATGTCCAAAGGGTGACCAATTAAGGAATCGAGAGGAAGGGGGTTATTTAGCCTGGATTAAAACACACTTTGGGAGTACGGGCTCAGTTGGTAAAGATTCTGCCTGCAATGCAGGAGATGCAGGTTTGATCCCTGGGTTGGAAAGATTCCCCCGGAGGAGGAAATAGCTCCCCACTTCACTACTCTTTCCTAGGAAATCCTATGGACAAAGGAGCCTGGCGGGCTGCAGTCCATGGGGTTGGAAGAGTTGGACATGACTTAGCAACTAAACCACCACCACCACAGTGAGTAGAGCAGGGAAGACAGGAGTAACCACAGATAGGAGGGGGCTGGGCTACTGGAATGCCTCCCTCCACCAGCTGGGTCACCCCCTTGCCCCCAAGCTGTGCTTCCCCAGACTCAGGGCCCACGGTCCCTCTTTTAGATGATCCTCCAGGTTGCAAAGAATTCTCTGTCCATATAACCTTAAGCCCACTCCCAAGGCCTAAACCCCCAGCCAGATGGTGCCCCTGATGTGTGCACCCCCAGACCTGAGATCAGGCTGGGGCAGCTGTTGGCTCGGGGTGTGTGGACAGAACCTGCCCATACAGACTGGCACATCCACACGTGTGCGAACTTGCCCCCTGATGGGGAGGACCAGAGTGGAGGTGGGAAGAAAAGTGGGGTGGGCTCTGGCTGGGGGCCAGCTCCCCCAGCATGGCCATGCTTTAGCACTAAACACGAGGAATTCAAGAGCTCTGAGTGGGGTATCCCCAGTGGCTCAGATGGTAAAGAATCTGCCCGCAGTGCGGGAGACCTGGGTTTGATCCCTGGGTTGGGAAGATCCCCTGGAGGAGGGCATGGCAGCTCACTCCAGTATTCTTGCCTGGAGAGTCCCCAAGGGCAGAGGAGCCTTGAGGGCTACAGTCCACGGGGTCGCAAAGTCGCACACAACTGAGTGACTAGGCACAGCAGAGCATAGCCAGTATTGTTGCCGGGAAATCCATGGACAGAGGAGCCTGGTGAACTACAGTCCATGGGATCAAAAAGAGTTGGCCACGACTTTTCGACTTAATCACCACCACTACCATCTTGACACAAACCAGGCCTTCCACGTTGTCATGAAGGCATGTTAGTCAACACAGAAGGACTAAATTTATTTCTGTCACAATCTTTTAGCTTGACTTATAACTTTCAAATATAAATATTCATAATTTTTAAATATGGTATATATTTCTCCACTTCTCACGCCCTGGGCCCTGCAGATGTTAGGGGCAGGCCTGCGGGGAAGTTAGGAGATGCAGTTCTAACCATCAAAACCAGCCACCTAGGCAAAGCAAGAGGTTGCCGAGGAAGGAGGCACTGGTCCAGTGGTTAGGGGTATGGATGCGGAGCGGGGATTCCCCGACCAGGTCAGAAATTCTAGTGGATTCCTGGGAAGAGCCCTCCCAATCGAAAGACTACATCAGTATCTAGTCTCGGTGAAAAGTACATGACAAGCAAAAATGTCTTTCTGAACCTCTGGCCTCTTACCTTCCAGAACAAGGTCACCATTGGATATCCTGACACAAACATCACATCTCTCCAGACATCAGGCGCCTCCGATGGAGCTGAAATTAACCAAAGGAAAGCTCTTGGGTCACAACATGGACGTAGAACAATACTTTCAACCTTCCTCTAATTCGATCAGTAAAGTGACCACGGCCAGTCCGACCTGAGGCCTGCATCTCGGTTTTTCACTCTCTGTGATATCTACCCACTTAGCCGTGGCCACACTGTTCACTCCTCACGAGGGGCAGGCACACAGTAGGTGCTTTACAAAAGGGCTGCTACATCGGAACGGGACATGACATGGGGGCCTTTGTGAAACTCAAGCCTCAGAGCTTCTAGAAACCACCAAGGAATTTTGGAACCCTGCGTCAGTCCAATGCTAGGGGGTGAGTTAGGCAAGAATCCTGCATCAGCCCAATGCTAGATTAGTTAGGCGAATTTCCCATTTCTAGAATTTCTAGGCACAGCAAACCATTGCTACTTCCTTGCCCCTCTGGTGGAGGCTGCAGTTGGATACCCTCAAGCGGAGCCCAGTTCTCCTGACTGCACACTGGCGGCCACTGGCTGCGGTCAGAGCCTGGGACCCCTTCCTTGTCCCCCTCCTCCCCATGCACACCCGTCCCCCACTTCCTGGCCTGAGCCTGGGGCAGCTCCCTGTGTGTGGGCCCTCGGGGCACCGGCTGCAAAACTCCCCCTGCCCGCCTCTCCCCACTCTGTTCTAGAAGACCTTGCCTCCTTGTTCTTCTTGCCACTAAACTGTAGACCAGTGATTTATGACTGGATTCAACATATCTCTGTGCAAGAAGAAACTGTTCTGCAACATAACATAAAATTTTAATTCTCTGCTTTATGAAAATACAGTTTACGGTCCCCAACAACCAAATTTTTTTAAAAAATGAAAAAATTTTTTCATATAGTTGCTAACACTTCCTATTCAACATGAAGGTGACTGTATATTTTTAAAATCTTTGCCACCCCATGGATGGTAGCCGGCCAGGCTCATCATCTGTCCATGGGATTCCCCAGGCAAGAATACTGGAATGGGTTGCCATTCCCTTCTCCAGAGGATCTTCCTGACCCAAGGATTGAACCCAGGTCTCCTGTATTATAGGCAGATTCTTTACCATCTGAGCCACCAGGGAGATCTTCGAAATTGAAGAGACTCCTTTTTTTTTTTACCCCCTGTAGTTGCTAACACTTTCTAGCAAAACATAAAGGTGGTCATATATTTTTAAAATCTATTAAGAGACAGATTTCAATTTGCTAAACTAGCCATCAGAGACACCAATATTAAGTCAAAAACGTATTGAAAAGCTCAGGCACCATACGAGGCCTCAAGCTCAGGGCAGAATCTTCCGCTGCTGGTTTGTACGTGACCACCTGCATGAAAAGAGAACATCAGCACAGCTGATGGCGCTCCATCCATATTTATGTCACTACAGTATCTCCCCATGGGGTCATTTATCTCTGCTCACCGTGACTCTGCTTAAGTAGGATTATAATACATATAAACATTGACTCTGCCAGCATTGAGCAAAGTGTTATCAGAGTTGAAAAACTATAGGTTCACCATCAGTATATTCAACTGATTTTAACTTTGCAAAAGCAAAGTTAAGCATTTTCAGACTTATGATATCATAATCTAAAAAACTACTTACCAAAAATGCTAAAAAAAAAAAAAAATGCCAAGTTTTTTTCTTTCCACTAAGTTTTAGGCATAATTTTGGAATACACTTGCAAAAAATAATCCCAAAGCGAAGCAATATTAAAGTATAAAGTATTAGGATAAAGCAAATCTTCTTTGCTCAGTTGCTTCAGTTGTGTCCAACTCTTTGCGACCCTATGAACTATAGCCCGCCAGGCTCCACTGTCCACGGGATTCTCCAGGCAAGAATACTGGAGTGGGTTGCCATGTCCTTCTCCAGAGGATCTTCCTGACCTGGGGACTGAACTCGCATCTGCTGGTCTCCTGCATTGCAGGAGGATTCTTTACCCACTGAGCCACCTGGGAAGGCCACAACTGAGGAATACACCATATTACCATCAGGAACAGGGTTCTCTGCCCCAGGGATTCTTGGGGGGTCTATACGACTAGAACAAAATGACTGGGCTCTTCAAGGGGCCGAGAGGGGAAGAGGCCACTGAGCACCTCTGAGCCCAGGTGTGGCTTTTGGGGCACTGCTCTCGCTACCCCCTCAGTCAGAGCACTTTAAAAAGTCCCTTCCAGGCTGAAACAGGAAAAAACTCCACAGCCTACAGACAGGAATAACAAGATGGAATCAAATATATATATATAATCCTTTCTTAGGCAGCAAAACAGCCCGGATTTGAATCCACAAGCTCTCCAGGCTGTAATAACACCCCTGAGAGGCACACCAGGCAGCCTGCCGTCTGGGTGAGGGGGAAGCTCTGGAGTCAGCGGGCCCCTTGCTGGCAGGGCCTGTGAAAGTCCTCATCCTCCCGGTGACCCCGGGCCTCACCCACTGAGTGAGGAGACCAAGAGGACCTGCTGCACGGGGTGGGAGGATTTGAGGAAAACACAGGGAACCCTTGGCGCGGCGTCTGGCACACACTAAACACTCCGTGCTCTGGTTACTCTTGTGTCTCTGCTGCTCATTAACTGCGAACTAGGTGCGTCTCCCCAGTCTAGGGGCCCAGGCTGCCTCCTGTGTTAACTGCGCAATGGTATGACTATTATGTGGGATTGGAAGGAGATGAATGCAGGGCTGGGCCGCCTCATCTCCTGGGCAATACTTGTGGTCTAAAACGTTGTTATTTGGGAGGAAAACTCTCTGTTCAGTCATTATTGAGGAAACAACCTCTGAGAGCATCAAGAGAAGGCTCCCAGTTTGCTGTCGCTGGAACGACTTAACAATGATGATTAAGTTTCCAGATAACTACCTTTCCAAACACAGCCCAAGGCTGTTTTCTATGAGATCAGTGCTTTCCTCAGCACAAATGCTACTGTTTGTCCCCAGTCCTGAATGAAAAGTTCATACTTATTTACAGAGCCCCAGTTCCAACAGGAATCCAGCAATACCAGGAGCTTAGAAACCATTTTGGAAAACTAAAAATCCCAGAGAAAATGTTCAGTAGAAATAACTTGGCAAATAAATGTCTGAGGTAGATGTCTTCCCACCCACATTTCATTAGGCATTAAAATCATTTTTTTTTTTTTAAAGATGGTACTCAGCCTCTGCTGTAATACTTTGCCCTGAGTTTTTGGTACAAGAGAAGTTCTCAGGGAAGCCCACCCATCTCCTGTCAGTCAGTTTAGATTCTTGGGATGTCAGGGAGCTGAACGTACCAGCTTCAGCTGTGGTGAAATTTTGGCTAATCAATTCACTCCACTTCCAGAAGTGGTCGGCATAAGCACAGCGTACACGGGCCATGTATTCTGTGTCCGGCTCCAGTTCACTTAAGAGGTACTCACCATTCACCCTGACGGAGATATTGTGTTGCTTGATTTAAAAAAAAAAAAAAAGAAAGAAAGAAAGATGAGGTGGGGAGGAAGAAGAAGACAGAAGTACTGGTGAGCACACTTTATGGTAAAGCCAAATCAGAACATCTAGACCTGGAGTACAACTAGTTCTTTGAGGAAAAATATCTCTGAATTCTAAAAGTTTGTGATTAATTTCCTGGATCTTTTTTTAAAAATTGGAATAGAATTGCTTTACAAAGCTGTGTTAGTTTCTGCTGTACAATGAAATGAATCATCTATACGTAACGTTATATACACACACACACACACATATATCCCCTTCCTCTTGGCCCTCGCTCCCACCTCACATCATCCCACCCTTCTTGGTTATCACAGAGCACTGAGCGGAGCTTCCTGTGCTATATAGCAGCTTCTCACTAGTCATTTTATATAGGTTGGTGAAGAAGTAATTGTGGTTTCAGACCATGAATTTTAAATCATTATAACTAGGCTCAAACACATATTTATTAAGCAAAATAGGAGCCATTACAATCCACATATTTTTGCCAATAAGAAATAAGTTGGGCTATTCCTGGAGCGTAAACCCTGTGCTTTGGGACTCATCAAACTCTTGAAAAGCATTTTCTGCCTCCTGCTGGTTGTGGAAGCGTTTTCCCTGCAAAACATTGTTGAGATGCTTGAAGAAGTGGTAGCTGGTTGGCGACAGGTCAGGTGAACATGGTGGATGAGGCAAGGCTTCATAGCCCAATTCATTCAACTTTTGAAGCATTGGTTGTGCAATGTGCATTCAAACATTTTCGTGCAGAAGAACTGAGACCGTTCTGTTGACCAATGCCAGGAATTGCAGGTTTCAGTTCATCTCATTGATTTGCTGAACATACTTCTCAGATGTAATAGTTTCGCCAGGATTCAGAAAGCTGAAGTGGATCAGACAGGCAGCAGACCATCAAACAGTGACCATGACCTTCTTTTTTGGTGCAAGTTTGGCTTTGGGAAGTGCTTTGGAGCTTCTTCTAGATCCAACCATTGAGCTGGTCATCACCAGTTGTCATATAAAATCCACTTTTCATCACATATCAAAACCCAATTGAGAAATGGTTCATTGTTTTTGCATAGAATAAGAAATGATGACAATTTAAAATGATAATTTTTGTTATTTCTGGTCAGTTAACGAGGCACCCACTTATGGAGATTTTTCACTTTTCCAATTTGCTTCAAATATTGAATTACCATAGAATGGTCAGCACTGAGCTCTTTGGCAACTTCTCCTGTAGTTGTAAAATTATCCTCTCAATTGGTCATTGTCAGTTTTCGATGGCCAGTCACTGCACTCCTCATCTTCAAGGCTCTTGTCTCCTTTGCAAAACTTCTTGAACCACCACGGCGCTAACTTGTTAGCAGTTCCTGGGCCAAATGTGTTGTTGATGTTGCAAGTTACCTCTGCTGATTTATGGCCCATTTTGAACTCTAATAAGAAAATCGCTTGAATTTGCTTTTTGTCTCACATCATTTCCCTGGTCTAAAATAAATATAAAATAAATAGCAAGTCATAAGTCATTAGCAAAAAACATAAAGTGAGAAGTGCATGTTAAAATGATGCATATCATAACCACATTTATTTAAGAATGTATTCTAATATTAAACAGTAAAATTCAACAATGCAAAACCATGATTACTTTTGCACCAACCTAATACATAGTAAGGGTATATATGTCAATCCCAGTCTCCCAAATCATTCCACTCCTCCTTCCCCTCACCCCTATGTTCACATGTTCATTCTCTATGTCTGCATCTCTATTTCTGCCTTGGAAATAGGTTCATCTGCACCATTTTCTAGATTCCACACTATGCATTAATATATGATAATTGTTTTCCCATTTCTGATTCACTTCACTCTGTATGACAGACTGGTTCCTCCATGTATCTACAAATGACCCACTTTCATTCCTTTTCAGTTCAGTTCAGTTCAGTTCAGTTCAGTCGCTCAGTCGTGTCCGACTCTTTGCGGCCCCATGACTCGCAGCACACCAGGCCTCCCTGTCCATCACCAACTCCTGGAGTTTACCCAAACTCATGTCCATCGAGTCAGTGATGCCATCCAGCCATCTCATCCTCTGTCGTCCCCTTCTCCTCCTGCCCCCAATACCTCCCAGCATCACGATCTTTTCCAATGAGTCAACTCTTCGCTTGAGGTGGCCAAAGTATTGGAGTTTCAGCTTCAGCATCAGTCCTTCCAATGAACACCCAGGACTGATCTCCTTTAGGATGGACTGGGTGGATCTCCTTGCAGTCCAAGGGACCCTCAAGAGTCTTCTCCAACATCACAGTTCAAAAGCATCAATTTTTCAGAGCTCAGCTTTCTTCACAGTCCAACTCTCACATCCATACATGACCACTGGAAAAACCATAGCCTTGACCAGACGGACCTTTGTTGGCAATGTAATGTCTCTGCTTTTTAATATGCTATCTAGGTTGGTCATAACTTTCCTTCCAAGGAGTAAGCGTCTTGTAGTTTCATGGCTGCAATCACCATCTGCAGTGATTTTGGAGCCCCCCAAAATAAAGTCTGACACTGTTTCCACTGTCTCCCCATCTATTTCCCATGAAGTGATGGGACCAGATGCCATGATCTTAGTTTTCTGAATGTTAAGCTTTAAGCCATTTTTCACTCTCCTCTTTCACTTTTATCAAGAGGCTTTTTAATTCCTCTTCACTTTCTGCCATAAGGGTGGTGTTATCTGCATATCTGAGGTTATTGGTATTTCTCCTGGCAATCTTGATTCCAGCTTGTGCTTCTTCCAGCGCAGCGTTTCTCATTCCTTTTAGTAGTTGAGTAATATTCCTGGATCTTGTAAACAGATGATCCCTTCCATTTAAACCCACACAGAAATAAAAATTTCAAGAGATTTTATATTTACTAGTCTCTGTTCAGACATAAAGAAATTTTTGAAAATAGAAAGTTAAGCTCTTACTTGTATCACTTTTCCTTCACCAAGGAGCTGAAGCTGACACAAAAGTGCAGAATTGTTTCCTATCGAGTGTACCTTCCAGGTCATGGTGGCATTTGTAGCACTGACATTTTTGGGGAATAAGTTATAGGGAGCCACTGGATGAACTGCCAAAATAAATTAAAAAATAAAAAAACTCAAGCACAGATCCAAAAAGACTTTGGTAAATAGGCACTTCATTTTTTCAATGATTTACTCAATAAGCACTTCTGCTTATTTTCGAGAAAATAACAAATAAAACCAGACTTGCAGCTAAGATGGAGTAAGCCAGCTACAGCCTTTCTCTCTCACTGATTATATCAGAAACTCTGAAAAAATATAAAAAGAAACTGAGGACTCTTAAAATTAAACAAAAGCAGGGAAGAACGTAGCGGGGAGTTGAAACTTGGAGAGGTGGCCCAACAAAGAGAATATAACAGAATCCAGAGTCTAGCCAAAGTAATTTTAACAAAGCAACTTTAACAACTTTAACAACAATCTATTTGGATTTGAATAGAATCCAAAATCATTTGACATACAAAACAAAACCAAAAAAACAGAAAATGCCACCAATTTCAAAGGGAAAAGTCAGTTGACAGATATCAATCTAGAGATGACTCATGCATCAAGATGACTCCCTTGAATCTACAATGATTAGATAAAGACTTTAAAACAGATCCATGACGTAAAAGTAAATGCACCTGAAATGAACAGAAGGAAAACACTTCTTAGTGGAGAAAAAACTAGTTTTAAAAAAGAATGGAAATTTTAGAACTGAAAAATATTAATTGAATATCTTGAAATAAAAGCACCTTGCATCTTACCCCCTTCCAGAGCCGCTGTGTGACCTGGCCATTGCCCACCACTCCAATCTCCCTTCTCTCACAGGAGAGACACAGGACGTTCTTTCTGTCCCTGAAACACCTAGAGCACGTTCCCATTCCGAGACCTTTTCTAACTCATTCCTTTTGCTCCAAATGCGCTAAAGGTTTTCTGCCTCTGCACCCTTCAGTGCCCTCATCCCAACTGAAGCAGCACCCCAGGCATTCTCTACCCTCCTACCTCAATTTTATCTTCTTCACAGGACCTAGCAATGCTTGGAGTTATGCTATTAACTTGTTTATATATATACTGTGTGTCTCCACACCCCGCTCTCCAACCTCTCCCCCAGCACATATACTCATTAGGGGCAATTACTCAATTCTGTTCACAGCTGGATCTGAAGTGCCTACTGGATTGGCATCACCCTGTAATTAGTGGACTGACTGAAGTGATGATTAAACTGAAATCTAAATGATGTGTAGAATTAAGAAGGTAAAAGAAGGACAAGCATTCCAGAAAAAATGAACAGCATGATTAAAGATTCTGCATTTCATAAAAGAGGAGGGGGTGTAATCAAAACATAGACAGAGGTATCCAGCTTCAGAGATGTGCAGATCAAAACCATCACAAAATACCACTTTCCATTCATTCAACTGACAAAAATGAAATGACAACAATTCAAAAATGAATTGGCGGCAATACCAATTTGGAGAGAGTACACTGCTACAACCACTTTGGAAATGAATTTGGCACTATCTTGTAAGTTGAACATTTACATTTTCTAAGTCCTCACCAATTCTACTCTTAGGTACAGGTATACACTCAAAACAAAACAATTATTGGTGTTTACTGGATATATATATCAAAATGCTCTTATTAACACTGTATCCAAGAGCATAAACCTTGAAACAATCTGAAAATCCATCAAAAGAGATGCATGAATAAAATACTGTATATTTACACAATGAAATACTTTATAGCAGTGAAACTAAATGGACTACAACACCACTGAATAATACGAGTGTTAGCAATGTAATATTATATAAAAACAATTACTAGGATTATTACATATAGCTTAATGTCTCTGATATGCATTAAAACAAAATAAAAACAGAATTTCATAAGAAATGAGAATATATCCACAAGCACACACAAAATAAATCTGTCATTTCCTTAGTGGAAGGAGTGGGACAGGGGTCTGTGGGATGGGAGATAACATAAGTTATTGTCAGATTTCTAGTTTAAACGGGAGGTAAGCTCCTCGGCATTTATTACATCATCAACAGAAACAAATAATGGGGACCATGGGCCATGTGTGCACCCAGGAAGAGAAGCGTGGCATGAACAATAGTTACAAACTAAGACTTTCACTTAGGATGTGAACTAGGCAGAAATCTCTAGCACATTTACTTGATCACACAGTGTATCAAACAAAGCTATGCCAGTGACCACAGTGAGCTACACTCAAGTCTCACCTCCATGGATCAGGTTAAAAAGAATACAGACACTTCTTTTTCTAAAGTAGTTTTCAGCCACGAGTGTAAAGTTATACATTTCTTGTGAGTCTTGAGTTACTTGCCAATCACACCGGTTTCTGTGTTTACAAAGTGTCTTTTTCCTGGAAAATCTTGAAAAAAAACACACACACACACAATTTCAGGGTTTACACTTTTGTCAACACAGATGTGTGTCCCTGAAGCCCTTGGGGGGACACATTCAGTGGCTTTCAAACTATGTTCCACACAACAGCATCGATCCATCACAAGCAAATACTGACAATAAAAATACTGTTTCAAAAAACTTGATTTATGTGGTTAAATATATAAGGATGAATTGCTGACTTCCCCTCGTGGGTTGTGAAAACTTTCCTTAGTTTACTACTTTGGGTACTCTTAAAAAGTTAGAAATTAGGTAAATCTAGATGACCATATGGAGTTATTTTACAGCAAGATTCGCAACTAACGGTCTTATTATTTTTATGCTCCACTTTCCTTTCCCAAAACTTGGATAGAAAGTGACCCCCTTAGGATTTCTTCCTGACCCTGGCAAGGTGGTCTGAAAATATTTGTCGAAAATTTTTGATATGTTGTCACAAGCACCTCAAACAAGGGAGAGTCTGTCACCAACGCAACCAGAGCTCACTTACGATTCAAATAAAGTGTAGGAAGGCAGTTGAATCAAACCAGTGTCATCCCCGGGATCCCAAGTACAGGTCAAAGTCTTCAGGTCCCGGGTTTCGCAAGAAAAGTTCTTGGGCTCTTCAAGCACTTCTGTCCATACAAAGAAAAAGCAGATGAAACAGTGAGCAGAAGCCCTTTGCTGAAACACAACGGAAATGGAAAGCTCTCTTGGGGATCTGAGGCCACAGAGTTGCTCTGAACACTGAAAAGTTTACTTCAACAGAGGCTGGCGCATCAGCAGCTCCAGAAAGTCACATTCAGGTACCTCATCTTGGCCCTTTCTCCTTCCCTCCCTGGTGCTTTGCTGGGCTGTCACCAGGGACAGCAGGAGTGACTGTATGAGGTCTGCACTGGTAGCCCCGGAGCTGACCAGTAAGCACTCAGCAGTCTGGTGATGCACAGAGAGAATGAGCAAAGTGATGAATGAATGGAGTCCGTGTTGCCTGGTAGTTTCGTGTTGGATGCTGTGGCTTCGAGAACCTGGGTTGTGCTTAGGAGGCCAGGAAGCCAGATCTGGGGAATTTGCTGACTTCAGCAGCTGAAGGCTGAGTTCTAAGGAGAGTACACGTGGCATCTCCAAGTCCCCGAGGCACTGCTGTTCTGAGGGGACACACAAGGGGTATGGGAGCCCGGAGCCCGGAGACGGCCTGCGGCAGGGAAAGCAGGCAGGGAGGAGCTGCAGGTGCTGCCTCACTGTGTGGGGGGAGGGCAGAGGCTTCAAGACAAATCAGGAGGCCACGGCAGGCCGGGGGGAGCATACACAGATCGACAAGAGAAATACAACGCTGCCTCCTCTCCCCTTCACCGCCCAGTTAAGAGCAGTAAAGGCCTCATCTGCTGAAGTCCTGTGTGTGTGGCTATTGATCATACAGCCCTGCCCGTGTTCCTGTGATCCTCACAGCAGCCATTACTAGACCTGTTCACAGAGGGGGAAACTTGGCCAAGACGGCGCACCCAGCCACGGGAAGAAGATTCAAACCCGGGTCTTCCGACATGACCTTGGCCGCCTCTCTAGGGCCCTCCAGCCGGCAGCCTCTCTCCTCCCCGCCCCGCCATCCTGTGGTCCTTCCAGCGTGGCTCACACAGGGCAGGATATTATCTCAGCGGTCCAGGTCATGACCTGAACTTTCTCCTTTTTATCACTCGATTTCTAGGACTAAAATTTCAGTAAGCTCAAGAACACAACAGGAAATCCGACAAGTATTGCTTCAGAGCATCTTTGACAGAGATTCTCCTAGAAGGCTTGGGAAAACAAAAGTCAACTGAGGCCACAAGTAGAAATCTTTCTTCTGGGAAAGGAGATTTGATCTCTTCCACGGGAAATGGGAAGCGGGGTGGGCACAGAGAATGGGTCCACTCACTTGAGACAAAAAGAACGACGCCCTCTGGAACTCCTTGGCCCTGACAATAGAAATTGGTCCCAGTTTTCCTAAGGAAAGAAATGTTCTTCAACTTGAATGCCCATACACTTTGATCAAGTTGTTTTCCAAATGTCAGTACATCTTCCAAATAACAGGATATGTTATCTTGATGGTTCCTAGAAATGTAACAAGTGGTGACATCCGAGCCCTCTTCCACCAGCTTATCTTTAGGGAAAACGTACAATGGATGATCTCCAAGCGAATTCTGGGCTGCAAGACAAGAGAAGACAGCTCAGTGAGACTTGGGCTCAAATTCAAACCAGTCCCCTCCTGTCTCCCTCTCAACAGATAACCTTAGCTTTTTCTACCTCCTGGAGAAAATAGGAACCTAAAAATCTATAAACTTTGTTGTGTGCAAAAAAGTCCTGTGTACCATCACTCTTATCGTTACGGGAACACCACTGCTCTGGTTTTCACTGCTGAGACAGCATGAGTGTCACCCTGTGGCCCTGAAGATGAGCCTATTATTGTGATCGGCTGGCTTCCAGGACAGCAGTAGCTGCTCTCTACTGATGCTAGCCATGTAGGAGGTCCCACGTTCCGTGCTTATGTATTTTCTCTCTTGTCATCCTTACCACCTTACAGCAACGGGACAGGTAGGATTGAGCTCAAGTTCACTCGCCCTGAAAGTAGCAAAGCCACATTCACACCCACCAGGTTCTGCCCAGCTCCCAAGCCACGTGTCCCTCATAATCTCTAAATTGTCTTGTAAATCACTCCTCTTCCAGCTTCTCAGACCCAGCCACCCAAGTATCTCCTTTCACTTCTGTCTTCCTTCTGTATATCCCACTCATCATCCTCCATGCCTGCCTCCTCCCTCCTCTCCACTCACTCCTCCACTCCCCAAGGAGCTGCCTCTGCCTATCACTAACCTGTCATCACTCCCTGATCACTTCATGTGCTTCAGTTTGGCTTCTGGCCCACCAGGGCTCTAAAATTGCCATCACTGAGGTCATCCAAGTGGAGTGGCCTGAGGGGTAGGACTTTGTTTTAAGGTTCCCAGGTGATTCTATGTGCAACCAGTTGAGAACCAGTGCTTTGGGGATTAGGAATAATCAGCATTGAAAGAAATCAAAGAAGACAGGAGCAGATGAAAAGATACACCCTGTTCTTAGATTGGAAGAATCAATATTGTCAAAATGACCATACTACCCAAGGCAATCCACAGATCCAATTCAATCCCAACCAAGTTACCAATGGCATCTTTCACAGAACTAGAACAAAAAAATTTGTATGGAAAGACAAAAGACCCTGAGTAGCCAGAGCAGTCTTAAGACAGAAAAGATGAGCAGGAGGAAACGGGTTTCCTGCCTTCAGATTATACTACAAAGCTACAGTAATTAGCACAGTATGTCACTGGCACAAAAACAGAAACATAGATCAATGGAACAGGATCAAAAGCCCAGAAATAAACCCACTCACCTATGGTCAATTAATCTATGACAAAGGAGGCAAGAATATACAATAGAGAAAAGACAGTCTCTTCAATAAGCAGTACTGAGAAACCTGGACAGCTACATGTAAAACAATGAAATTAAAACATTCTCTAACACCATACAAACTGTTTTCATACTGTTCATGGGGTTCTCAACGCAAGAATGCTGAAGTGGTTTGCCATTCCCCTTTCCAGTGGATCACATTTTGTCAGAACTCTCCACCATCACCCATCCATCATGGGTGGCCCTACACGGCACGGCTCATAGTTTCACTGAGTTAGACAAGGCTGTGGTCCATGTGATCAGATTGGCTGTTTTTCTGTGATTGTGGTTTTCAGTCTGTCTGTCCTCTGATGGAGAAGGATAAGAAGCTTATGGAAGCTTCCTGATGGGAGAGACTGACTGAGGGAAAAACTTGTTCTGCTGGGTGGGGCCGTGCTCAGTTCAGTTCAGTCACTCTGTGTCCGACTTGTTGCAACCCCATGAATCGCAGCACGCCAGGCCTCCCTGTCCATCACCAACTCCCGGAGTTTACCCAAACTCATGTCCATTGAGACGGTGATGCCATCCAGCCATCTCATCCTCTGTCGTTCCCTTCTCCTCCTGCCCCCAATCCCTCCCAGCATCACGGTCTTTTCCAATAAGTCAACTCTTCGCATGAGGTAGCCAAAGTATTGGAGCTTCAGCTTCAACATCAGTCCTTACAAGGAATATTCAGGACTAATTTCCTTCAGGATGGACTGGTTGGAGCTCTTTGCAGTCCAAGGGACTCTCAAGAGTCTTCTCCAACACCACAGTCCAAAAGCATCAATTCTTTGGTGCTCAGCTTTCCTCACAGTCCAACTCTCACATCCATACATGACCACTGGAAAAACCACAGCCTTGACTAGACAGACCTTTGTTGGCAATGTAATGTCTCTGCTTTTTAATATGCTATCTAGGTTGGTCATAACTTTCCTTCCAAGGAGTAAGTGTCTTTTAATTTCATGGCTGCAATCACCATCTGCAGTGATTTTGGAGCCCCAAAAAATAAAGTCTGACACTGTTTCCACTGTTTCCCCATCTATTTCCCATGAAGTGATGGGACTAGATGCCATGATCTTAGTTTGCTGAATGTTGAGCTTTAAGCCAACTTTTTCACTCTCCTCTTTCACTTTCATCAAGAGGCTTTTTAGTTCCTCTTCACTTTCTGCCATAAGGGTGGTGTCATTATTAGAGAAATGAAAATCAAAACTACAATGAAAAAGAAAAAAAACTACAGTGAGGTATCACCTCACATTAGTCAGGATGGCCATCATCAAAAAGTTACAAATAATAAATGCTGAGAGGGTGTGGAGAAATAGGAGCCCTCCAACACTGTGGTATAGCCACTTTAGAGAACTATATGGAGATTCCTTAAAAAACTAAAAACAGAGCTACCATATGATCCTGCAATCCCACTCCAGGGCATATACCCAGTAAACTAAGTAAACTAAAGTCACTCAGTCGTATCCGACTCTTTGTGACCCCATGGACTATAGCCTACCAGGCTCCTCTGTCCATGGGATTTTCCAGGCAAGAGTACTGGAGTGGGTTGCCATTTCCTTCTCCATGGGATCTTCCGGACCCAGGGATCGAACCCAGGTCTCCAGCATTGCAGACAGATGCTTTACCATCTGAGCCACCAGAGAAAACCATAATTTGAAAAGATCCCTGCAGGCCTATTTACAATAACCAAGGCATGGAACCAACCTAAATATCCACTGACAGAGAGACGGATAAAGAAAATGTGGTATATACACATATATATGTATGTATGTATGTATATGTGTGTATATGTATATACATATATGTATGTATACATATATATATATATATAAACGGAATTTTACTCAGCCATAAAAAAGAATGAAGTAATGCCATCTGCACAACATGGATGGACCTAGAGAGTATCACTGGAGAAGGAAATGGCAACCCACTCCAGTATCCTTGCCTGGAGAGTTCCATGGACAGTGGAGCCTGGTGGGCTACAGTCCATGGGGTCACACAGAGTTGGACACGACTGAAGCGACTTAGCAGCAGCAGAGTATCACACTAAGGGAAGAAAGCCAGACAAAGACAAATAACATATGATATCACTTATATGTAAATCTAAAAGAAAAAATAATGACACAAATGAACTTATTTGCAAAACAGAGAGAGACTGACAGATACAGTAAAAAAAAAAAAAAAAAAAAAAAAAAACAACATATGGATACCAAAGGAGAAAGAAGAGTACAGAGAATAGATAAATTAGGAGTTTCAAGTTAACATATAAACATTACTGTGTATAAAATAGATAACCAACAAAGACCTAGTATATAACACAGGGAACTATATTCGATATTATATAACTACCTGTAAGGGAAAAGAATCTGATAAAAATACATATAAATGTATAACTGAATCACTGTGCTATTCACTTGAAATTTACATGATATTATAAATCAAGTATAATTTAATAAAAATTTTACAGGCATAATCAGCTTTTCTATCAATTTTGGGGTTAGTGTGGAGGTTACAATTTTGAGAAACCTAGTCCATTGTACCAAAGTTGTTGATAATGTTGCTCTTTCTTTTTCTGTTACTATCTTTTTAATCTCTCTCTTTCTGTCTTTTTCTCTAAGTGTGTCTCTCAGCAATAGGATGCAATGGTTAAGAGCATGGCCTATGGAGCTAGATTTTCCAGGTTAGAATTCTGGCTCTACCACTTAGTGGCCTGATGACCTTAATTTTTTTTTTTTAAAGCTATTTGTGCCTCCACTTCCTCATATGTGAAAAAGGGATGAGAATTATATGTATTTCCTAGGGCAGATGTGACAACTAAATACATATAGTGTTGAAAGCAGCAACCAGGAAGCAGATTTTATTCTGTTAGTATTAAACTAATCATTGGGTCTCTTGTGGGTTAAAGTGTTATCAGTCTGAGTTACATTTGCATAAATACTTAGCTAAGGAATGGTTCTCTTGGTAGGAAATTTCAGATAACCTATCAAGGTATGTAGTTGAGAGCATCAGATGACATTGCTTTATAGCTAACCTATAGCTTAGCTGAAGCATACGAAATTGTGAAGAATGCTAAATTTTAATCACAACAAAATAACCAAAATTAAGAAATATTTAAAACACAATTACCCATGATTTCATTACTCAAATGAAGAATTACTTCCAGTTTTCCATATTTCCCTCCCTTGTCTCTACATTAGGGGTTGGCAAGCTATGGCCCATGGGCCAATTCCAGCCACCATCTGCTTTTTGTAAATAAAGTTTTACTGGAACACAACCATTCATTTACATACTTCCTATGACAGCTCCCATGCTACAATAGTGGAGTTGAATAGCCCCGATAGAGAATGAAGGGTTGTAAAACCTAAATATTTTCTATCTTTTCCTTGATAGAAAAAGCTTCCCAAATTCTATGCTAGTTGTATACACATTTTGTGTTGTTCTAATAAAAATATATGTACAATTTATATTTTTCTTTGTTCACTCAGCATTCTATAATGTACATACTTCACACATATGGAAAATGAATCCTACATTGTCTGAATTTGCATAGTTATCTCAATGAATAAATTCAGAGGGAAAATCCTCAGACCTCTATCTATCTCCCAGTGGCAAGTTTCACATCCATGCTTTTTGGGTCCAATGCATATGTGCTCAGTTGTGTCCGACTCTTTGTGGATCCCACGGACTGTAGCCTGCCAGGTTCCTCTGTCCAAGAAATTTTCCAAGCAAGAATATTAAAATCCTGAGACCTCTATCTCCCAGTGGCAAGTCTCACATCATGCTTTTTAGATCCAATAGGAGACAAATATAAATAATGCTGGTGCCTACCTGGAGTTCCTCAATAAGGACTTCTACCATTTGACTACTGATCCCCAAGAAATATTAGATAGCAAACCCCCTCACTCTTTTACAGCCTCATTTCTTACCATCTGCTTTCTCCCATGAACTCCAGTTACTCCAGAACCTGGGCACAGGAATCCTGGCATCATCCACCATAGTCCTCATTCTTACAAAGTGTATGGCACATTCCAACGGGAGTTCAGACTCCCAGCTCCAGTGCAGGACTTGGTTCTGCGTCACAGTGGTGCTGTAGTTCCCCTAGAAATAAAGAGAAAAACTTTGATGCATATAACCATGCAGTCCTGAAAAATGGCTTGGCTGGACTTATCCTAAAGCACACACCTAAGTGTCCACTATAACTCCAGGATACGGACAAGCTCAGTCTGTTTCCAGTCAGCCAGTTCCTATACTCCGATGGTTCAGCAAGGAACCAGCCATAGCCTCCTGCCTATTGAAAACTTGGCTCCCAATCTCTTTGGGCCCCCAGTCCCAGGGGGATCACACGAACCAAGTGAGAGACAGAATAGACACTACTTGAGTCTTAGGGAAAAAGATCAGAGAAAGAAGGTGTACGCACAGTTCTGGTCACAAGAGCGTGCTGAGAAAATTCTTGCAAACTAGAGAATTAATTGAGGCACCGTTTTAAAAGTAAGCAAGATTGATAAGAATTTTCTAACATTCATCAGATCAAACCTCAGCGGAGCTGGCAGTCCTTCATGGTACCCAGGAGTTCCACTGTCGCCCAGAAGTTAATAGATCACTTCCCGTGATCCCCTTGGTTTTTGTCTCTAGTCTTTTCAGATGTGGTGGCCACATGGACCACACTGCCTTCCTTGAGCTCCCACCTTCACAATCTTTAGTACCCAGAGATGTCAACCACATAGGCAGAACTTACATTGTGCTCTTAGGAAGCTTGTCCAGGTTGAAATTTAATTTGCTTTTCCTGCATAGATTTTAGTCTTCATCTTTCTCAAACATTGGTATTTTCATTCTTAAATTCAATAAACTTCAGTGGCTCCTTTTACGCTTTACCCTGTCATCCAAGGCCGTTTGCAGTCTGACTCCAACCTGCTTCTCCCTTGCAGGACTCTTCTCTCAAGAACCAGTGGTTTGCCCTCATGCTGCTGGAACAGCTTCGTGCCCTTACATCTCAGGGTTTTCCCATGTAGTGTCCCTGGTTTAGTGTCTCCCACCCCCACCCCCCTGCTCTGAATTGGGAATTAGTCTCAACCTCCAAGCCCATTACACCCATCTTCATGAAGCTTTTCTTACTCTTTCCTCTGGTTTCTTCCCACCCCCACCTCTCCCCAAGCTCCCCTACATATGATGGTGGTTGTTCAGTCTCCAAGTCAAGTCCAATTCTTTGTGGCCCCATGGACTGCAGCAAGCCAGGCTTCCCTGTCCTTCACTGTCTCCTGGAGTTTGCTCAAATTCAGGTTCATTGTGTCAGTAAGGCCATCCAACCATCTCATCCTCTATTGCCCGCTTCTCTTCCTGCCTTCAATCTTTCCCAGCATCAGGGTCTCTTCCAATAAGTTGGCTCTTCGCATCAGGTGGCTGAAGTATTGGAGTTTCAGCTTCAGCATCAGTCCTTCCACTGATTATTCAGGTTGATTTCCTTTAGGATTGACAGGTTTGATCTCTTTGTTGTCCACGGGACTCTCAAAAGAGTCTTCTTCAGCACCACAATTTGAAAGCATCAATTCTTTGGCACTCAGCCTTCTCTCTGGTCCAGCTCTCACACCCATACATGACTACTGGAAAAATCATAGCTTTGACTGGGCGGACTTTGTTGGTAAAGTGAAGTCTCACCTTCTTTCTTTTTTTTTTTTTAAACTTTTTATTTTGTATTGGGGTACAGTCAATTAACAATGTTGTGGTAATTTCAGGTGAATAGTGAAGGAACTCAGGCATACATATCCATGTATTCATTCTCCCCCACTCATGAGAAAAGCTAATTCATTTGAAAAGACCTTGATGCTGGGAAAGACTGAGGACAGACGAAGGGGACACAGTTAAGATTAGGCCTTGCCTACTACTGTGGGTAGTTGGCATTTCATCTATGGTCAAGCCCCTGACTTGAATATGGTACCGTAAGAGCAGGGACTGGCTTTATTCTTCTTCTTGGACCACAGCTCCAAGCACCGATGCTCCTCAGTGGGATACCTGCCTTCTGCCCCCACAGCTGTAAGACAAGGACAACAGATACCTTGCCCTTCGTGGGGAAAACTGAGTTTGCATCCATTTTTTTTAAGGGCCAGTGACAAGTCCTACAGTGAAGAGGAGGGGGCAATACATATGCCACATGCCACCTGGAGCTGCCAAACTTGGAGGCCTTCCCTCCACTGTGCCTTCCCCTCCCCCAGCTGTCAGCCTTAAATGGTGCCCTGGGCAGAACCAAACACTATTCTGGAAGGAGAACTGCTTAGTCCACCTGAAGGGCATCTAATCATGCATGTCCTTTGTCACTCTAAACAGAACTCCCATTTGTAAAATGCTTGCATTGTTTCAGTTTGTTGTATTCCTATCCCTATAAAGGGCTTCCCTGGTATCTCAGGGGGTAAAGAATCCACCTGCATTGCAGGAGACCCCAGTTCCATTATTGGGTCAAGAAGACCCCCTGGAGCAGGGATAGGCTACCCACTCCAGTATTCTTGGGCTTCTCTGGTAGCTTAGATGGTAGAGAATCTGCCTGCATGCGGGAGACCTGGGTCCGATTCCTGGGTTGGGAAGACCCCCTGGAAAAGGACATGGCAACTCACTCTACTATTCTTGCTTGGAATATCCCCATGGACAGAGAAGCCTGGCAGGCTGCATTCCTGGGGTCACAAAGAGTCTGACATGACTGAGCGACCAAGCACAGCACAGCACATCCCTATAAAACATTGTTTTTAACAAGTTTTGGGGTCCTGACCCATGCAACTTTTACTATTTAATGTGCACAATCTCGGGTACATTTTCCCCATTATTTGAAAACTAGTACAAAAAATTGGCTGTTAGTCAATCAGTAACCTTGCTATAATATGAACATTATAGCAGTCATGGTGACCTTGCCATAATGCAAACAAGCCATAGACTGGATTTCGCCTCCTATATCCCTCAGGAATTCAGTCACTTCTCTCCTCCCCATTGTTATCACCTACTCCAGGCCCTTCTCCTCTGGACCAACCCCACTGCTCAATTCAAACTGGTCACACTTCACCTCCTCCAATTCTCCCAACTTCTCCCCATTGTGGAACCAGAGTGGTTTTAATCAGATCTCATCACCCCTTCTCACTGTTCCCAGGATAAAAAACCATACCTGAGCATGACCCCAGTCGCATGTGGTCTGGCCCTGTCCTGCCCACCCCACGTGCCCCATGCTTTCAAGCCTGAAAGCTCCCAGCCCCTTTCACTCAGGGCCTCTGCTCACTCCAGCTGGATATTCCTGGAACATTCCTCTCCATTTTCCATGCTAAATTAGCTTCTAATCTTCTTTCCTACTTTGACTCCAACTGTCCTTCCTCCAAGCTGCTAGAGAACGTCAGGCCTAATCTCAACCCATAGCCCATTGTCAACAACCTGCACTCCTTACATCTAGGACACTCTTAACTTTGTGACCATCTCCTTAGTTTTGCTCAGCATTGATAGCCCCACGCCTTGAACAAGGCCTGGACCTGAGCCCACAGTCTAAAACTATGTGCTAAATGATTTCATCAGTTCATTAATATGTCATGAGCTCTGCTTCTCCCAGACCCTCTTTGTGTGGATTCTGTCTAACCACAAAGTTGTGCTTTGTGGTCTTTATAGCCGTGCTGTGGAGGAGATAAAACTTTCCTTGAATGCATCAATTCAGTGACTTTTAAAAATGTGATGACTTGTGTTTGGGCTGTTTTCATTCATTGAAGTGGCAAGTTTAATTTGGCCCTGGCAGACATCAGTAAGTCATGAAAAACTGGCATTTACATGATGTCCAAGTGAGGTCACTGGTCCATTCCCAAGAAGTGAGTTTATTCCTCTCTGATTCAAGCTCCAGGCCTCCTTCCAAGCTTGAGTGGTTACTCTACTCTGCCTTCTCCTGCCATGGATAGAACCATAAAGCATGTGACTAGAAAGGCCGAGGGCAGAACCCAGGCTGAGGTGAGACTATGCGGTGAGTTCTGAGTGGTCGGTGCCAGCTGGGATCCAGCTCAGAGTCCCTGGACCAGCTGCAAGCACCTGGGTCAAGACACTTGTCCTTCAGCTTATTTGTTATTGTTATTTAGTTGCTAAGTCACGTCCAACTCTTTGTGACACCATGAACTGCAGCATATCAGGCTCCTCTGTCCTTCACTATCTTCCAGACTTTCCTTAAACTCATGTTCACTGAGTCCCACCCGGTCACCCCCCTTCTCTTTCTGCACTCAGTCTTTACCAGCATCAGGTTCTTTTTCAATGAGTCGGCTCTTTGCATCAGGTGGCCAGAGTACTGGAGTTTTAGCTTCAGCATTAGTCCTTCCAGTGAGTATTTAGGGTTAATTCCCTTCAGGATGGACTGGTTTGATCTCCTTGCTGTCCAAGGGACTCTCAAGAGTCTTCTCCAACACCACAATGTGAAAGCATCGATTCTTTGGTGCTCAGCCTTTTTTATGGTCCAGCTCTCACATGCATACATGACTACTGGAGAAACTGTAGGTTTGACTAGACAGATCTTTGTTGGCAAAGTAATGTCTCTGCTTTTTAATACGCAGTCTAGGTTTGTCACAGCTTTTCTTCAAGGAGCAAGTACCTTTAATTTCATGGCTGTAGTCACCATCCACAGTGATTTTGGAGCTTTCCCCCCATCTATTTGCCTTGTTTATTTATCTATGGTACATATTCAATTTAATATAAATTTATAAATTTAACATAAATAAATATATTTATTAATTACTATCCACTGGCTTATTTGGGAACACACAATTGGAGTCATGAGAACAGAAAGCTGCTCCTTCTTGGCAAGAGTGAGTTTGCATTTCAGGGACCTGCCCTATGAAAGGAGATCACGGTCCAGATAGAAGCAGCCTCTCTCAGCTGGCTTTCTGACCCTTAAGTGGAGGGGACCTTAGGTCTGTCCTTGACTGCAGGCCCAAGAGGTTCAGACAACAGCTTCTCATGGCCTCAACTGCTCTGGGATGCATGGTGACTGATGACTGGGAAAGATTGCATGTGGCCATAACCCCCATGTGGAGCCCAGGGCTCCAGTCAGAAACAGAGATGCCTAGGGAGGGGCTGTTCCCTCCTCGGGCTGGAGGGGCCTATGCCACCCGACCCCAGCAGGCAAAGGGAGAGAGTTCTGTGTGTGCATGGTCAGGGGTAGGTCACTGCAGGTTTTCTGAAATTGTCCTCCTGGTGTTGCTGTGTGTGTCCTGGACTATCTTCTCAACTGTGCTGCAAACTATTCAAGTCAAAGCTGATTTTTCTTTACCTGTTCCTGGCATCTGGCATAGGCAGGTGTGATTATCTTTTGTCAAATGAATAAGTGACAAAAAAAGAAAAAAGCAGCATCACAAACCTTTCTCTGTCCTAGGGGTCAGGCTGGGCTTGGATGTTATGGGAACCATGTAATGGACAAGGCAAAACTCTACCCTCAAACACTTCCAGCCTTGGTTGGCTACAAGTAGATTTCAGCAGCAAGAAACCTACTTAGCAAGAAGAAAAAGGTTTCTCTTTTTACCTTGAAAAGAAAACTAGTACCTGAATCAAAGGTCTAAACTGTGAACAACTGTTGGTTCAGGCTTTCCTACCATTATTTTCTTTACTATAGTAACAAAAAGAACTATCTTTTAGAAGAATAAAGAAAGGGGTCCACCTGGTCTGTGGTTCATGTTACTTTCAATAATGGGGTTAAATACTAGTTTTCCACAAATTCCTCCAGCGCTCCACTCAAATTTCTTTTCCCTAGGCAATTCTTAGCCTCAACACGACCTATCCAATGCTGTACTAGGCCCAAATCAACACGTGTATCCATCGATAATACAAAAAACATGAAAATACAGAAATTTTCCCTGTGAAAGGGACAGCGGGAGGAAGGGCTGGGGAGGGAACAGCTGTATACAAGCACTGCTGTTGTATGCAATCTAGAGAAACGGCACAGATGAGCCCATTTGCAAAGCAGAATAGAGACACAGATGGAAAGAACAAATGCATGGACACCAAGGGGGAACGGAGGGGTGGGATGAACTGGGAAACTGGGATTGACATATCTACATCCTACATAGAAATACATAGCTAACAAAAACCTATAGGACAGGGGACTCTACTCAGTGCTCTGTGATGACCTAAGGGAAGGGAATCCGACAAAGAGAAGGTATAGGTATATATATAGCTGATTCCCTTTGCTACACAGCAGAAACTAATACAACATTGTAAAGCAATTATACCATATCTCAATAAATTTTTTTAAAAAAATCAAAAACCAGGAAACACAATGCAAGTGTTTCTGAGATCTGTGTCTCCTGGCCTGTAGTCCTAACAAACCCCAAATAAACTACTGTGTTTGGCCTTAAAAAAAAAAGAAATCAAATAATTCTCACAGTAGGAAGCTGCCCTTTGAGGGGTAGAATTATAGACCTGGTATCAACCTTAAATCAATAGTCAGAACGATATTTAGGCCACTCATTCGGATCTCAAAGGTGATGATGGATCATAAAAGTAACTGGAACCATTAAAGTTAGTGACCTTTATGCTTTACTAAAGGAACTGGCCCTCTGGGTCCCAGGACCCATGCCTCCACTGCCTGAGAGGAGAGTGGCTGTCCACTAGCAAACAGAGGTCCCCGGCAATAACACACCCGCATTTCACTTCCCTCTACACAAATTCTCTGTTTCCCTTCAGTGAGAAAATAGATCACTGTGCTTCAGCCTCCCATGATTATAAATGATCATGATGTGGGCACAGGTTACCAGGGCTCCCTGGACCATACATGGTCACTGAAAGGAACCACCAAAGTGCCCCAATGCAGCAAAGGGGAACGCATCAGGCAAAACAGACATAACCGTGACTTAAACCAGACCAGAGAACATCAATCCCAAATAATTCAAAGGCAAAAAGAGTATGAAGTTCAGGATTTTCTTAATTTAATTTGCTATAGAAAAAGCCACATGTGAGGTAACAAAGGACATGGTAAGTTACTCTCTGACAAGGTCCAAGGGAGACCTCTTTGCTGGGTAGAAGAGAAAATGCTAGAATGTTTTCTTCCTTGTATTTCAGCACTGTATTAGTAAAGAAACTGCCTGAGAGCCACAATGACATGAGAACTGCCAAACTATTACATCTGATTTAGGAAAATCTTTGGTAGGCAGAGAAGGAAGAAGGAAGAGGAATAAGATGGCTGATCATGGATTTTTGGAACCCAGTCTTCACAAGGATAGACCCCAACAGCTTTCATAGAGAACAGAGAAGAACTAAGAAAATGATCTATTTTTACAGCACAACCCACCCAACCTACCAAACTAAAATTGTCATGTTAATTTGCCCCGGATCCTCTTAACTAAAAACACAGAACTGAGATTATTTAGAACTGTTCTGAGTAGCTAAAATGATTCCAGATTGGGATTTTGTGGAGGATATCATAAAAGACAAATCATGGTGTTAGAAAAGGATTTTTAAAATACTGAGCCAACAATAAAAATACTTACCGTCCAGATGACATCGGATGCTTTAAATCTACTGATCTGTATCTCAAAAACCATTTTTAATTCCTGATGATAATCAAGGTTGTGGACAGTCCATTGTAAATGCAAACACTGCTTTGCAGAATTGATGGAAACGCTCAGTGATTCAGGAGTTAATGGTAATGGTTCAGACAAGACTGAAAGACCAAACAAAACATGATATGAAGTAACACTTAATAGGAGTATGATTGAATAGTCACAGATAATTAAACTGTTCAATATCATCATTGTTTAGCCTTGGAAAACATTGCTCACATATACACTCTAGAATTAGACACTGAAAAGCTGGAGGGAATTTAGAAATCACTCATCAGATGAAGAAATTAAGCCCTAGATGAAGGAAATGAGTTGCTCAATGATACACAGCAAATTAATATATTGACAGTCACACAAAAGGATACTTTATTGAACAATCTAAATGGTTTAGAAATTTATAACAAGGCTGAATAAGAAAAGAGAGCTTTTTTGCTATAAATTTCATAGTTCTGGACATCTAAAGTGAATATTTTATGAACTATTTCATAGTTTAGGGGACTTCCCTGGCAATCTAGTGGTTAAGACTTTGTCTTCCAGTTCAGGGGATGTAGGTTCAACCCCTGGTTGGGAGCTAAGATCCCATATGTTTTGTGGTCAAAAAAACCCAAACAAATATTTCATAGTTTATTAAACAGCTATAAAGTGAGTACAAGTCCCATCTCTAGAGGCTATTGCTTAAATCTCAATGCACTGAACTGAAAACACCTCCGGCAAGAATTCACTGGGCCCTTTGGATGAGATTAGACACAGTGTGAAATGAAATAATCATGACAAGGTTTCTAGCTCAAGGAAGGAACCTAGTGGAGAGACACAAGAGACTTCTATGAAATAATGAGTGATTGCAAGTTTAGAGTGTTTAATGGTGGGACAGAGTATGTCAAAGAGGAAAGATTCAAACATGGGACAGATTTGCTGAGGTCAAATTTGCTGAGCTGGAAAAGAGCCCAGAGAGCGGATTTGCCCTGATGGAATGAGTGGGATCACTAATTCTGGAAGAAGAACAAAACATCACTTTTTACATAAGTAGAGGAAATGCCATACAGATTCCAAAAAAAATGTGTATTGTTGAATCAAGAGGCTTCACTGGTTGGTTTGAGGGCATCTTAAGTACACTGGGAATGGTGCAAAGGTATTGAAAAGATGAAGAGTGTATTGATAAAATCAACTGGTAGCTGATGGTTCATGGTGGAGCACATACAATCTTTTTAGCATTCATTTTTCTAGTTCTTTGGGGATTTCCCCCTAATGATCTGAGACTCTCTGGTACCTAGTTTAAATGATAAGAGATTACCTTCTTTTGAGAATAAAAATGGAATGAATCTCTAATACTGAAAAAAAATTTCCCAAACTCATTCTACATGTGCTTCTTTTCTCAGTGTGCATGTGCTTGCTCAGCTGTATCCAATGCTTTGTGACCCCATGGACTGGAGCCCTCCAGGCTCCTCTGTCCATGGGATTCTCCAGGCAAGAATACTGGAGTGGGTAGCCATTCCCTCTTCCAAGGGATCTTCCTGACTCAGGAATGGAACCCACATCTCCTGCATTGGCAGGCAGATTCTTTACCCCTGAGTCACCTGGGAAGCCTGTATTTTTCTTACAGGGAGGTAAAAAATAACAGCAACAATAAGATTGAGCACATAAAGTTTATCAGGCATGGTACTAGATGCTTTGCATATTTTTTCTCATGAAATGCCCACTGTAAAACTGAGACAATCATTTTTTATAGATGAGGAAACTCGAGTTCAATAGCTTAAACAATGTACACAAAGCGACATGGAACTTAAGTATGGATCTCTTTAACACCAAGCCTTGTCCCCCTTTATTGCACTGCTCCCCAACTGTGAAGGCAGGAACATCTTGCCCAATCAAAGGTCACATGGACTGGAATGTCTGAGAGGTGTGGCTCCCATCATGTCCTGCCAAGTTCAGGATACAGATGATAAGGATGGGGCTCTGGACCTAGCCAGAAAAGTTGATAAGTATTCTTGGTGGATACAAGCATGAAGTTCTCCATGATAATGGTCTACATGATAGACGGCTTCAGGATCTAACTAAGGTTTTATCCTCAGAGTTTAGAAAACAAAACTCAGAAAATTCATTCTATGGAAGCAAAGTTAACAAGAACGGCCATAAAATCTAAGTTATTGGCTATCAACCACTCTTTTCCCAGAAAGATATCCATCCTTTGTGAATTTTATAGATCAGATGCTGGGAATGGTTAGGATACCAACTAGAATCTTAGTCTGTACTCCCATTACCTTGGATTTGGCATTGGGTCCCTAGATATGATGCCAAAGCATGAGTCAGAAAAGAAAAAAAAAAGACAAATGGAAATTTATCTAAATTAAAAACTGTGCATCTAAGGACACTGTCAAAAGGGTGGAAAGAAAAACTACAAGTAGAGAAAATATTTTGCAAATCACTCATCTAGTACCCAGAATTTATAAAGAACTCTGACAACTCAACAGCTAAAAGACAAACAGCTCTATTTTAAAAACAGACAAATGACTTGAATAGGCATTTCTCCAAAGATGTACAAATGGCCAATAAGCACATGAAAAGACATTCAACATCATTAATCATAAAGGAAATGAAGATCAAAACCATAATGAGATACTATCTTATACTCACAATGAAGGTTATAATTTAAAAAAATGGAAATAAGCATCAGTGAGGATGTGGAGAAATAAAAACCTTTGTATATCAAGGTGGGAGTGTAAAATGACTTTGGAACTGGAGAAAACATTTTGAAAGTTCTTCACAAAGTTAAAATCACCACATGATTCAATAATTTCATTCCTACATATATATCCTAAAGAACTGCAAGACTTAAATATTTGTACGCAAATGTTTGTAGCAGCACTATTCACAATAGCGAAAAGGTGACAACAAACCAAATGTCCATCAGCAGATGAATGGACAAACGTCTTGTGGTATATTCATAACCTGAAATACAAGAGAAGACTCCACACATGGACATCACCAGATGGTCCATACCAAAATCAGATTGATTATATTCTTTATAGCCAAAGATGGAGAAGCCCTATACAGTCAGCAAAAACCACCGGGAGATGACTGTGGCTCAGGTCATGAACTCCCTATTGCAAAATTCAGACTTAAATTGAAGAAAGTAGGGAAACCCACTAGACCATTTAGGTACAACCTAAATTAAATCCTTTATGATTATACAGTGGAAGTGACAAATAGATTCAAGGGATTAGATCTGATAGAGTGCCTGAAGAACTTCAGACAGAGAGTTCTGACATTGTACACGAGGCAGTGATCAAGACCATCCCCCAAAAAAAGAAATGCAAAAAAGCAAAATGGTTGGCTGAGGAGGACTTATAAATAGCTGAGAAAAGAAAAGAAGCTAAAGGCAAAGAAGAAAAAGAAAGATATACTCATCTGAATGCAGAGCTCCAAAGAATAGCCAGGAGAGATAAGAAAGCCGAAAACAACAGAATGGGAAAGACTAGAGATCTCTTCAAGAAAATTAGAGATGCCGAGGGAAATTTTCAAGCAAAGATGGGCACAATAAAGGACAGAAATGGTATGGACCTAATAGTAGCAGAAGATATTAAGAAGAGGTAGCAAGAATACACCAAAGAACTATACAAAAAAGATTCTCATGACCCAGAGAGCCACAATGGTATGATCACTCACCTAGAGCCAGATATCCTGAAATGAGAAGTCAAGTGGGCCTTAGGAAGCATCACTGTGAACAAAGCTAGTGGAGGTGATGGAATTCCAGTTGAGCTATTTCAAATCCTAAAAGATGATGCTGTGAAAGTGCTGCACTCAATATGCCAGCAAATTTGGAAAACTCAGCAGTGGCCACAGGACTGCAAAAGGTCAGTTTTCATTTCAATCCCTAAGAAAGGCAATGCCAAAGAATGCTCAAACTACCAAACAAGTATACTCATCTCACATGCTAGTAAAGTAATGCTCAAAATTCTCCAAGCCAGGCTTCAACAGTACATGAACCATGAACTTCAAGATGTTCAAGCTGGATTTCGAAAAGGCAGAGGAACCAGATATTGAACTGCTAACATCCCCTGGATAATTGAAAAAGCAAGAGAGTTCCAGAAAAACATCTACTTCTGCTTTACTGACTATGCCAAAACCATTGACTGTGTGGATCACAACAAACTGTGGAAAATTCTGAAAGAGATGGGAATACCAGATGACCTGACCTGCCTTCTGAGAAATTTGTATACAGGTCAAGAAGCAACAGTTAGAACTGGACATGGAACAACAGATTGGTTCCAAATTGGAAAAGGAGTACGTCAAGGCTGTATACTGTCACCCTGATTATTTAACTTCTATGCAGAGTACATCATGAGAAACTCTGGGCTGATGACGCACAAGCTGGAATCAGGACTGCCGGGAGAAATATCAATAATCTCAGGTATGCAGATGACACCACCCTTATGGCAGAAAGTAAAGAAGAACTAAGGAGCCTCTTGATGAAAATGAGAGAGTGAAAAAGTTGGCTTAAAACTCAACATTCAGAAAACTAAGATCATGGCATCCTGTCCTATCCCTTCATTGAAATTGATGGGAAAAGAATGGAAACACTGAGAAATTATTTTGGGGGGCTCTAAAATCACTGCAGATGGTGACTGCAGCCATGAAATTAAAAGACACTTGCTCCTTGGAAGAAAAGCTATGACAAACCTAGACAGCATATTAAAAAACAGAAATATTACTTTGCCAACAAAGGTCCATATAGTCAAAGTTATAGTTTCTCCAGTAGTCACGTATTGATGTGAGAGTTGGACCATAAAGAAAGGTGAGCGCCAAAGAATTGATGCTTTTGAACTGTGGTGTTGGTGAAGACTCTTGAGAGTCCCGTGGACTGCTAGGAGGTCAAACCAATCGGTCCTAAAAGAAACCAGTCCTGAATATTCATTGGAAGTACTGATGCTAAAGTTGAAGCTCCAGCACTTTGGTCACCTGATGCAAAGAATGGACTCATTAGAAAAGACCCTGATGCTGGGAAAGACTGAAGGCAGGAAGAGAAGGGGATGACAGAGGATGAGATGGTTGGCATCACCGACTCGATGGATGTGAGTTTGAGCAAACTCCAGGAGTTGGTGACAGACAGGGAAGCCTGGCGTGCTGCAGTCCATGGGGTCGCAAAGAGTCAGACACAACTGAGCGACTGAACTGACGTGAAGAAAGAATGAAGTACTGATACACGCTACAAATCAGGTGAACCTTGAAAACCTTACACTAAGCAAAAGAAGCCAGATATAAAAGGTCTCATACAGTATGAAATTCACACGAAATATCCAAAACAGTTAAGTCCACAGAGAGATAAAGCAGACTGAAGGTTGCCAGGAGCGAAGGGAAGGAGGAATGGGGATAATTGATTAATGATTACAGTGTTTTCTTTGGAGACAACAAAAAAATTTTGGAACTATATAGAAGTGGTAGATGCAAAAAATTTTGAATGTATTAAATGCCACTGATTTGTTCACTTTAACCATAAATTGGTAATTTCATGTTATGTAAATTTCACATCAATAAATATTATTTTTAAAATATACATGATCATGATAAAAATATTCAACCAATACAGACATTGAATTCCCTACCAATTCCACTCTCACTCCACTGCCAAGTTTAAATCATAAGTTTTTCCTGACCTTTTTCATACATTTAAAAAGTCACATTGAACTCTACCCCCATTTTATATTTTTTAAAGCACTTCCATTATTCTTAAAAAGCTATAAAGAAAAGTAAAACTAAAATGTTAACAGTCATTAATTCTGGATGGTGAGGTTGAATGATTTTAATTTTTAATTGGAGGATAATCACCTTACAACATTGTGTTGGTTTTAATTTTCTTGTTTTATGCTTTTCTGTACTTTGCAAATGTTCTCCAGAAAACATGTACAACTTTCAGAACCATATAATATGCTAGATTTTAAAAGAAATATCCCTTTAAGATAAGGAATAAGTGAAGTTCACTTCACTAAGATGACACTTCAGAATGCATAATTTAGTCTTCTGAGCTGATTTGCACCAAAAGGCTGAGTTCCAGTTATATTTCTATGTTTTACGCCCCACTGAAACTTAATAAATTGGAATTCTGATTCTTAACAAGTTTGGGCAGAGGGAATTAGTTATCAGGCCCCATTCACTCAAAGGTAAATGAAATAAGTTGGGATTCCTGAACATTCAAAGCCCAACAGGGCAGTCATCCTCTATCATTATTTGATTAGAGGTTTTACCTCCTTTGTGAATAAAATGTCTCAATTTTTTAGTTAAAGACAGCAGAAAGCAACAGCTGATATTCATTCTCTCCCTAAACCTGTGAACCAAAGGGAAATTTAGGAAATGAACTATAGGGAGATTTAGGAAAATGAAAAGGCAGAACCCTTATGGAATGGGGGGGGGGTTGGATTATTTTTAATAACTGTGTAGACAAGCAGAGTGCATACAAAATCAGCCCACCTTTCCTAGTCCTCATTTCACCTTGCTTGTATGGTAGGGTCATCTGTTGCTGTCAGTCTCACTTCTAGATTCACATTTCCTGGAGGGCAGAGGCTTATGCATCTTGGAATGAACTCTAGTCCCCAGAACTTGGCACAAGGTCTTACCCACAGCAAATCTCAAATTATAGAGATCCAGCACAGCACAGGCACGATCTCAAGTGTCTGCCTGACCTGCAGCCCCTCACCAATAACTCATCCTTCCTGGAGGTCTCTTCTTCCCATTGCAGCTTTTCCCACCTCATATTTGAACCCTGATCACACCATGCGTTCATAGCCTGTTTGGCGTTTGTCTCCCCGCAGACTGTGAGCTGAACAAAGGTTGCACTAAGTCTTACTCATCTCGATGAAGTCACGACTGTAACATCCCTGTCACAGTGGAGACACTCTGTGACTGCTTACTGAATTAGTGAGTCACCTACCCTATATCACCAGTGCTTCGGGAAGCTCTAGAAGGCTGCCCTGTGATGCTTTAGACAAAGAGGAACTCTTCATATTGACATACGCTCTCTGTAAGTGTTGAGTGACTCAGGTACTCAGCAGACAGCAGTCAGAAATAACTGAGTGGAAAGCAATCTAAGACATCCTTGGGAAATGGTGGGAAATGCCAAGGTAAAGTCAGAGAGGTAGAGAAAAGACCCTGGAGGTGATTCAGTACAGTCCCAGTGTTTTTCAGAGGGGGAAACTGAGGCTAAAAAAGGGGGAGTGACTTTCCCAAGATCATAGAACCCAACTAGGACCCAGGGCTCTTGGCCCAGCTCTCGACAACACAGCATTGGAGTGTGGCCAAAGAGCGGGCTTAGAACCAGATAGCCATAGACTTAGTCACAGGCTCTCCTACTTTCCCCACCAGTTTCTCCATCTGGTTCCAACACACTTAGGGAAACAAACTGTGGCCCATTCCTAAGATGGGATAGTGTGCAGCCCTAAAATATGATGTTATTTCTAGAAAAACTATTAACATTAAAGGTAAAAACTCTCATCATATATTGTATTATTTTAATATGTATATGCTAAAGTAAACTTATTAAAGTATATGTACTTTAATAAGTATATATAGCATAATTTCCTAGCATATACACTTATGTTACATATAATACGTATATATTTATGCTTCATATACTATGGTATGTATACTTTATATTAACTATACTTTAATAAGTATACTATATAACAAATCCCATTCTCCAGAGCAGAGAATGGTGGGCTAACAGTCCTTAGGGTCACAAAGAGTTGGACACGACTGAAGTGACTGAGTATACATACACGAACCTTCACTGGGTAAGTAGCTAAGAGACAAATACTAATTCTTTAGCCATAAACAGCATTTCAGCACTTAGCATATTACCGTGGAGGCAACGGCCTCTCAATGAATGCAGGACATTCCAACTTGTTCTAACTCTGATCACATAACCCATTTCTACACACCAAGTACAGAAGGAAGTCCTCTGCCAACGGATCATATATTGATCATGAAATTCTAAGGGATTAAGTCTACAGACAAGTTTCCATTGGCTAGGAAATCAGGGTTAAGGTGTAGCTTACTAAAATGAGCCATTAAGATCAGGAAGGTGGAGACTAAATTACTCACTGCTACTCACCAAAGAAAAACAACCTGTTCATTTTTCTCCAAAGCACCAGTTACCTTGCTTTTTTTTTTTTTTCTATGTGATTTTTTTTTTCTTTATTGTTCTTTCCACTTCTTACCTTCACTTTGGTAAGTTCTCAAGGGCAGAAATGCCAAGAGGAATGTTGTCTGCAAGACTGCAAAAAGAGCCATAGGTTCTTGTTTCCTGAAAAAGATAAAGAAGAAGAGAAAGAAAAGAAATTTCATTTTAGATGTGAACAGTTTTCTTTGAACCTATTGTGGAAGATAATGACATTAAAGGCTTCTGCTCTTGGACTTTCCTGGGGGTCCCGTGGTTAAGAATCCACCTTCCTGTGTAGGGGATGAGGGTTAGAATCTTGGTTGGGGGAACTAAGATCCCACACGATGGCGGGGGCGGGGGAACTAAGATCCCACACGACGGGGGCAACTAAGCCCATGCACCACAACTAGAGAAGCCCTCACACCGCAACCAAAGATCACTCATGATGCAATGAAGACCCGATGCAGCCACACAAATAAAAACAAATAGGTAAATTTTAGAACAGCTCCCACTCTCCTTTCCTCCATATATCCACACCCCTTGTCACTGTGAATTTGGAGACCTCTCTCACCCCCACCCCACAATGAGCTGATTTTCCTGCTGCCTGTGACTTGTTCTGGCTCATAAGTGAGGCAGAAGTGATGGTGTGTCCTCTTGGAGCCTAGGCCTCAAAAGACTTTATGTGTTTCCTCTTGCTCTTTTGTGTTTCCGCCTCTGGCATGAAAAGTACATTTCTGGGCTATTCTATTGGACCCAAAAGGAGGATGAGTAAGACAGGAGACAGAGGTCGAGGTCAGAAAGCAGCCGGTTACCCCCCAGCCCAGGGCAGCTGTTCCCAGATGGGACGCTGGGGCTGTGTAGCAACAGGTAAGGGAGTCACCAATCTGCACACCAGGCAAAGTTTGGTAAAGAAAGATAAAGCAGAAAAACCCAGCCACAGTCTCAGAAGAGCTCTATTCGAATTAATTCTTTGCAGGGGAGTCTTCTCCCCTCTTCCCTGTCTCTCTCCTTAAAATGTCACCAGAGAGAACGCGCACATGCCTCTGAAGGGGACCGGCAAAGTGGCATTGTTCAAGAGAACTTCCGGTGCTCTTGTCTTCAAGAGGGTTATGAGCTACAGGCCAAAAGAGCTCTGCTGATTCATCAGGTCCTCTGACCGTTGTACTCTGTGAGGGCACGAAGAATAAGCTGGATGGTCTCAAGACGGCTAATACGTTCTTCACTTAATAATAAACACGTTAGTCAGGGGAAGTACTGAATTTCACTTTTCTGTTGCAAACTCTGACTCATCGCAGAGGGAAGCAAAGAAAAATTCAAAGTCAACTTTTACCTCCATCTAGTCTGCTTGGGGTCATCTAAAGCTAGATGTCCTGTGAACCAGATCATCTATTTTTACTGCCCACAATATCCATTTGTTTTCTTCAAACAGCATTTTACAAGAAATGGGAACAATAGTGAAGACAGGAAGAGGGTAAACCAAACCATTCAATTACTCTTGAGTGGTCAGATCTGCTTACACAGGAGCAAAAGTCTGCAAACGACAGCTTTTCTTCCTGATCCTTTAAGCACTGCTTTCCACTACTTCAACTTTTGACAACAGGTCACTCACACCATGCTGAAATCTCTACAGGCAACTTCAGATGGGTTCCTACTAAAACTGAATATCAAAGCCGGAGGGGAAGACTGACTCAAGAGAAAAGAGTTTCTGCTCAAAACCAAAGTGAAGGCAAAGGAAAATGCCACAGTGGAGTTTTGACACTCACGGTGCATTTAAATACCCATCCAATCCTGGTCTGTGGCAGAGGGTCCCATCCTCCTAGCATGTACGTCGCACAGGGAGCACAAGGACGCACCATGGTGAGAAGAGCGTGCATGCTAAGTCGCTTCAATTGTGTCTGACTTTTTGCGACCCTATGAACTGTAGCTCATCGGGCTCTTCTGTCCACGGGATTCTCCAGGCAAGAATACTGGAGTGGGTTGCTATTTCCTTGCTCATCCCCCCAGTTCAAAAGCAGGTAATTCCAGGGGTAGGACACATGCTGCTTTGTGTTCCCCACATGAAAGGACTATTTAAGATGCTTCTTAAAAGGTGGCGTCTCAGTAAATCAAATATTTACCAAGTCACCAAAATTAAACAAGTCATGGGGCAAAGAAACTTAAAATTAGGAGTTAGAGGCCACCTACCAGTTAAGGGTAAGCATAAACTAAAGAACACAAGTTGTCATATAACAGAGTTGAAGACATGGTAATTTACAAAGGACGTGTGTCTATGGTCTGTGTAGAATCACCAGGACAGTCCTGTCTGAAGCCCTGCCCTTTCCCACCATCTCACACATGGCTGGTTGTAAAGCTGGGGACCTCAGCTCTAGCTGCCATCAAATCTCCTGGTTTTCTTTTCAACCAGTTCTCACAGGCATGGTTTTACAACACACTGGACAGGTGGCAGCTGCGACCCAGTGGTCACTGACTGCACAGAGCAAAGTGGTTTTGTCCAGTGTTGTGACCAGGCAGCCACCATCCAGATACTGCAGGCTCCAGACCACTCAGGACGTTTTGTAGAAGGAATAGGAGTCCTAGCTGTTGTCTGAAACTCTTCTGGTAAAATCAACAGCATTTATCAAAACCTGCAGAACAAGAGTCATGAGGGAGAACCTCCCAGGGAGCCCTGTGGAGCCCCGCCTCCTGTGGCACCCCTCCCTCCTCGGGAGCCCCCGCCTCCTGTGGCGTCCCTCCCTCCTGTGGCGCTCCTCCCTCCTGTGGAGCCCCGCCTCCTGTGGCACCCCTCCCTCCTGTGGCACCCCTCCCTCCTCGGGAGCCCCCGCCTCCTGTGGCGTCCCTCCCTCCTGTGGCGCTCCTCCCTCCTGTGGAGCCCCGCCTCCTGTGGCGCTCCTCCCTCCTGTGGCGCCCCTCCCTCCTGTGGAGCCCCTCCCTCCTGTGGAATCCCCTCCCTCCTGTGGCGCCCCTCCCTCCTGTGGCGCCCCTCCCTCCTGTGGAGCTCCTCCCTCCTGTGGCGCCCCTCCCTCCTGTGGCGCCCCTCCCTCCTGTGGCGCTCCTCCCTCCTGTGGAGCCCCCGCCTCCTGTGGCGCTCCTCCCTCCTGTGGAGCTCCTCCCTCCTGTGGAGCCCCTCCCTCCTCGGGAGCACCTCCCTCCTGTGGAGCTCCTCCCTCCTCGGGAACTCCTCCCTCCTGTGGGATCCCCTCCCTCCTGTGGAGCTCCTCCCTCCTGTGGAGCTCCTCCCTCCTCGGGAACTCCTCCCTCCTGTGGAGCCCCTGCCTCCTGTGGAGCTCCTCCCTCCTGTGGAATCCCCTCTGGGAATACCCTGTTAACAGGTTTCCTGTAGGCACAGAGCCTGACACTGTGGGAAAAACACAGACACCAGGGACTCTTAGCCAAGGCCCCAGGTGACTGGACACATGGCCCATGCGGTTCCCCTCCACCCTTCCTACATCAGTCTTCCTCGGGTGACCCAATTCTGAGGGCATCAGCTGTTTCCCTATGAGATGCCCATAAGAGAGTGAAAAGCCCGGAGGTGAGGGGGTGAGCTGTGCAAAGGTCCTGAGGTGCGGTGCGCTGGGCATAGTCCAGACACGACACACAGCCGGGGCTTGGAGGGGGCAAGGAGGTGAGTGACAGAGAAATCAGACAGCATCCAGAAAGGGAGAACAGGCGGGGAAAACACTTCAGAAACTTTGGCTTCTACTCTGAGTGAGATGGGAGCTGCTGGTGAGTTTTAAACAAAGGAGTAATGTGGTCTTACCCAGGAAGGACCCTTAATGAGAAGAGTCTGAACGCGGCAAGAGCGGCAGGAGCAAGCTCAGGCCGTGGTCCCTGGGAGACTGACGCTGGCTTAGACCCCGGGGGTGGAGGGACGGCAGCGGCAGCGGGAAGGGTGATGAAACTCGGGAGAGGTTTTACAGACAGAGTTGGCAGAACGTGTGGGGTAGTGACAAACCGAGACATCACGGGTGGCTCTCAGAATTCTGGACTGCATGCCTGGAAAATGGAATCACCATTAACGGAGAAGCAGAAGAATGATTTAGTGGGCTGTAACAAGGATTGAATTTGTGACATCTTAACTTGAGATGCTTACTTGCTATTCAAATGAGATGTCAAGTAGCCAGCTAGCTACACAGTGTGGAGTCCATGGAAGGGGTCCTGGTTCAGGGGACAAACCCACGGGTTTTCGGTGCACACGTATAAAGCCAAGGGACTGGATGATCTCCAAGAGGGGAACAGACAGAAAAGAGAAAGAGGTCCGAGCATGTAGTCGTGGGGCACTTCACACTGTGCACCACGCCCCCTTACCAGAGCAAAACAAAAATCTGGGACTAGCCTAGGCTCTCCTACATCACCTCAAGGATGAGGGCTGGTGTGTCCAGCATCAGCCGGCTGCTTGGCACGTTCCCCAAAATGGGCCCTCAGGGCTTGATTTTTCCTCCAAAGCTCTGCTTAATTCCCCAGTCCTCCCGTTCATTCAATAGGCTTTCTCTCTCTACAACTGTGAGGGAGGAGAAAGGCTGCATCCAATTTTCAATAAGAAAAGGAAGTCTGGGAAGTATGAGGTGGCAGGATTCACAGAGGAAAAATACTTTCCTGCCTCAACTGCGTGACTTTGTCCTTACTCAAATCTGCTCTCTCTCTCTTTTAAAAAACTTTTTTATTTTGTCTTGGAGTATAGGCAATCAACCATGTTTTGACAGTTTCAGATGAACAGGGAAGGGACTCAGCCATACACGTAACTGTATCCATTCTCCCCTAAACTCCCCTCCCATCCAGGCAGCCACCTAACATTGAGCAGTTTCCTGTGTTATTATGATAGGTCCTTGTTGGTTATCCATTTTAAATGTAGCAGTGTGTACATGTCCATCCCCAGCTCCCTAACTATCCCTTCCCCTCCCCATCCTCCCCCCGGCAATATTTCTCTTAAAAAAAAATTCCTAGTGTTTTAAAATTGAAGTATAGTTGATTTACAATATTGTGTTAGTTTCAGGTATGTAGCAAGCAATTTGGCTACACACACGCACACACACATATAGTCAGATTATTTTCCATTATAGGTTATTACAAGATATTGAATATAGTTCTCTGTGCTACACAGTAATTCCTTGTTGCTTATCTATTTTATGTAGAT